CTTTGTGTGTGTGTGTGTTTATAGATGTAAGTCTAGTGGAATGGACATGGATAAACTGGACAGTTTTGAGCTTCCAAGTGCTGATTCAGGAGACCACAAACTTAAAAAAAAAATCCACTTTTGTTCTATCAAACTTTGGCTTGTTTTCAGCAGAAATGAATCCAGAGGAGTCTGAACTGTCTGAGTTGGCTTTTTAAGGAGAATGAGTCTGAGACTGCTGTTGGAGGGGCTCAGCTGGAAACACAGTACAGCTTTTCAGTACTGCTTAGTATATTAATTATTTATTATGTTCCTCACTTTGAATCTTTATCCATGTTTTCTTCCTTGTCGAGTTGAGAGCCGTCTCTCCCTAGGTAGGCACTTGTCTGAATACTGCGTTAGGTCATCATGATATAATTAAGCACAGATGCCAGAGCACTAGTTGAAAGCCTGACATGGAAAGTTTTGCTCTGATGGCCAGATTATCTAACTCAACTTCCCTCATTTACTGGCTAAATAATAGCCCTAATTTCTCCATTCTTGGCAATTGGCCAAGGAGTTTCTGTATACCACATGAAGGCCAGTTTGATTGTAGTGGGAGATTAAAATCAGTCCTGGTCTAATTTCTCTGCCCTTGAAATAAAGCTAATTTCACACCCCTTTTGAAATGAACTACAAATTTGAAGAATGATACACTGTTCTGTGTGCATAAGGTTGCATGTGCTGTAGGAGAAACCTCTAGAGGGGATGATGTGCCACTGCTAGAGAGCGAGGGAGTAGGCACTTACTTACTGAGAGACCTCTTAAAAGAAAAGGATAAAGCAATATATATTGCCATGTATACAAATTACTACAGTACTTGGCATTTGGGCAAAAATCGCAAAACATTCTTCCCTCGCTCGTGAATCCCTGAAAAACAGAGGCTCTGCCAGTGATGGAAATTATCCCATCGGCATTGGCCATTAAAATACACCTTGTTACAGATCGTCTAAGTTTCAACTGAGATCATCTGTACTTGAGAAGTCAGTGAGAGACCTACACTGTAGTGGCACTTCTTATGCACATTGAGGCACTAGCTTAAAGTAGCCGATTCATAGATTGATTGGTTGTGAGGCTGGAAGGGACCTTGTAGATCATCAGGTCCAGCCTCCCGCACCAGGCAGGAAAGATAACTGGGGTCAAGTGACCCCCAGCAAGGTGACCGTCCAGTCTCCTGATTATTTTAGCATTTTCTCTGAGGTATTCTTAAATTCTAACACTGCTGCAAGAATGCCAACTTGGATAATATTGAGTTAGGCATCAGCCACAGGCTTCAGTCAGCGGTGCTGGACCATCCATGCCATGAACCACTCCCTTCCCGACAGCAGGTACGACCAGTGGGTCTGGAATGTAGAAATGCAAGGAACTTAAAGTTTCTACAAAACCGAGACACAAATACATGCATGCTTTACCCTGGGTCTTTTTTTCTTAGGTATTCAACTTGGGAATTTTGAATTGGTGAGCTTTGCGTACTATGTTTATAGTGCTTTAAAAATGCATGGTTCACATGTTTAATTGCAGTGAGGTATAACTGAGGCAATGTGATTCACTCGTCAGTAGATTGAATCTCATATTTTTGTCTACCCTCGTAGGGATTTTTTAAATGAGAAATGCATTTTGGAAGGAGATTGAGAGAGAAACAAGAATTTTAAGTGGCAGCACAAGGTATAAGAGAATCAAGAAAGAAGGGTCAAATGCAAGTGGAATGGGAAGGAAATGGAAAAACTTTGGGTAGATTTTGCAGGGGTAGCATGCTGTAGTGTCTATTTTAAGAATTTTCCTTGGTTTGCACGATAGAACAGTGTGCTGTTTCACTGCAGGGTTAAACTATTTTTTTCTGTCTTCAGAAAATATTAAACTGTAAGCTTTGTGCCTCCAAAGAATAGTTTGGTTGTGGGCAAACAGAAAGCACAAAACAGATTGGTGAGTTTGTCGGGTCTTTAATAAACAGGCAGTTGATAAGTAAAAACAATACAAAAGAACAGGAAGTTCTCATCTGTCAGTGCTCAGAGCACAACAGGAAATTGTCCCTCATAAACCAGGAGAGGAGGTGTTTGTCCTGAACCTGTTTTACTTAAACGGACTGGCACGCTGGACAAACAAACGGCAGGTGGACCTCTCCAGAGTCTCGTGTGCAGTAATAAGGTCTGCATATTACTTTTGTGTTTGCCTGGTCTGTTGACCAATATGTCCAGTCCTTGTCAAAGACGAAAAATATTCTAAGCAGTTTCATATATTTTGATGAAAGTCAGTTAACTCCATAAATACATGGCACCTTGCAGACTTGTATGCCTCTTTGAATGAGTTAGTCTCGAAGGGGTCACCCTGCTCTGCCCTGTGCCTCATTTCAGACTAACTGCCACTTTGCATACATGCAGCTACTGAATTTTTTGCCCTGCTGCTTACCTCCTCTCTCTGTCCTTACTTCCCAAGGAGGTACCTCCCTGTCAAATCCTTCTCCCTACAACTTCTATCTAGTGACAGCTCTCATCCTTCAGCTAGGGGCTATGTTGGACAGGGCTCCATTTGGACTCCATCAGTGATGTTCCTTACCATGCCAAGCAATGGACAGCTTTCTCCCAGAATGGGAGTGGAATCTGGGTCTTTTGTGAAACGCTGGGAAATAACTTGTCCACAGAGTTAGCCCGACATAGTCTTTTAAGCGGGGAAAGCCCTGCTGCTTGTCATGTAGCCTTTGGAAAAAAAAGGTATGAAATTAGCATGTATGTTTAATTGAAAAATATTTTAAAATAATCTGAAGTGCTCACACAGCAGTTGAGTCTCTGACGTCAGAATCAAACAGAACTGGATTTGTAAAGCCAGGATTATCTTAATACGGGAGCATGGGACTAGAAAGGATGAGGGGAACTGAGCCATTGAATCCATTCCTGCATGTTTGCCAGCACCAAAAATATCCATTGTAGAAAATGTGTGTGCGTATTATGTTATACATCCAAATATAATGAATGTGGATTCCTATCTAAATAACGCAGTAACTTGTAGCATAAGGATGCAGTGTCTGTCTGGCATTACAGTAGACTTGGTATATGCTTTCAGCAGTTTACACTGTCAGGAGGAAAGTACAGCTCTCAAATGACTCCGCTGTAGTGATCCTGCAAATTTGCCAATAAATGTAGTACTGATGTCTTTGCCATTCTCAGTCCCCACAAACACAGGGAAGAGAATGCAATCTGCTTCCATGCCTACCTTACCCACTGCTTAGATAAGGCAGAAGGCAGGGTTAAGATGCACCTTATAGACTAAATGAATCGGGTGAATAAGCTTTTGTGAGCACCAGATGAAGCGAGCTCTCACTTAGGAAAGTTTATGCATCTCTCACCTATAAAGGTATCTCTTTACCTTGCTGTCTGCCTGACTTCAAACTAACAGAGCTAGCTACACCTCCCTGCTAGATAAGAAAGGCTGTCTCGATAAACGCAAGGAGAACTGAGTAGTTCTTAGCTTTGCATCCTGGAGTTGTTTCCCCCCCCCCCCGCCCCAAACACACACACTTCCAATGCACATCATGCTTTTCTTTATGACTTAGCTTTTACCATTTTGAAGTGTGGAGCTGACCTTAGTTTTGACTCGTGCCTGCCAAGATCCATCCCATACAGAGTTGTTCAACTATTTGAAAAAGGGAGTTTTGAAATATGCAGTGTTTCAGAGCTGCCTTTTCAGTTTTGTTTTCCTTTTTAACCTGTCTAGCACCAGTCACGCACAGTGTATGGAGTTAATTATTGAGGGAGAATGTTTTAAGGAAGTATTTTGAATAGTTTATAAGGCTTTTTTAGCTTTGGGATTAATTCCCTGAATCTAGGCTAAATTATAGGAAGTAAATTGTAAAACACGTAAGGAGAGAGAATCAAATCTATGTTCTAGTATATACTTGTGAAAATAACAATGAGTAATATTTACAGCACAGAAAAAGAACCACGTACAATCTTCAAAATAGAAATGAAATAGTGCTGGTGCTATTAGTTCTTTTTCCATAGGGTAAAAAACACTCATTGCTACTTTCCTGAAATTCAAGCCATGTGCGTATGTGTTCTTCTGAGGTGAGCTGCACAAAAGGTTGCAAAGTTAGGGGTTTGCAATATTTTTCTTGCTGCAGTAAGATAGTGAAGGGACATTTAGATGATCCGTTGGGCACTGTTCAAAGTTAGCAGGACAGCACTCTGCTTCTTCTGTATTGACACATCCATTCTGATTTCAACAGCATATGAAATGAGGGACATGGCACATTGTTGTTTTGCAGAGGTACCAAGTCTCGCCTTTCAGCAGAACTGTTTGAAATTATGTGGTGTGATGTTTGCTTGGTTTTCTTCGGTGCATTGTGGTGTCTGCACATATAAACTACTTGCTGGTAGTTTTTCATTATCTTTTTTATTGAAGACTGACGACACAAGCTCTTTTTAAAAACTGCTCGTAGAGCATGTTTCACGCAGTACTTGAAAATTCAGGTAGGTGCCAAAATGCAGAAGACCTTTTTTTTTCAGCATTTCCCTGCTTTAAAATACTACTGAGAAATACCTAATTATATAAACAGGCAATGATTCCTGTCTCCTTCTAATGAATCTGTTTAACAGAAAGTATTATCTATTGATTTGAGACCATAAAAAGACAATAAAAAAGAAGCATCACTAAGTTAAAAACGTGCTGGTTAGAAAACCCGTTTTCAACAGATGGTAGAGTACTTACTTCAATAGAAGGCAAGCCGATATTGCTGTTTTCTCTCATTAAAATTCTTGAAAAGTTTAAAATAAAAGATGAATGGGTTACATTATAGGCTATAAAAGTTTGATAATGAATAATATGATACCATTTTTTTAAAGCTATGGTTTATTGATTACAATATTAGAAAAACAGCATGCAGTACACACCATGGAAACAAATAATCTAATGTTTATATCTGTCAATATGTCCTTCTCACAGGCCTCTGTGGGTGAGAGTCTTCAAAAAGAAGCACTGAAAAAACAAGTGATGAAGCAAGTAAGTTGAGATTGGGAGGTTGCTGTGCACATGACAAAATAAGGATTTGTTGTGGTTGGTAACCATTCAGCTAAATCGTGTTTTCTCCTTGCAAACAACCAGCATGCAAGTATACTCTTTTGTAGCACAGACAAGATAACCTGCCTCTCTGTCTTATCTATAGATCTAGTTTGCCCATTCCTCTTTCTTCTCTTCTCTCTGCAGTAGTACATCCCCGAATGCATCTCCACACACTTGCTTCTGGTGCTGCGGTCTTTGCAAGTCCTTCAGGCACTTTGGCCCCAGATTTTCCCATAGCACTCTCACGCAGAGGCACCTAGCGTTTGTGGAAATCCTACACATTCTACATTTCTTCCACCTCGTACAGCAACTGTTATATAGATATGATGGTTTCAACTGGGCAAAATAAAGATTGTAGTATTAATAGCATCATTTAACACTCATACATCTAGTTTTCCACACAGATACAGTCTCAAAAATTAGGATTAGCTGTAATTAAGCTGCCCAGTTAATGATGATAGTCAACAATGCAGGTTTTTATTAGGTTTCTAGGCCATTGGGGATTGTGCTCCCCCCAGTTATTTTTAGAAGCATAAGATTTAAGTGTAGGTATTTTAAGTAAAAGTAAAATTTGAGTTAATTTTAATAATTAATAATCTAATGATGTCATTTCAGTCAACTTGTCTAATAGGGAGCTGCAGAAAAGTAAGTTATTATGAAGCAGGCTGTGAAAAAATAATCATATTTCTTCATATTTAGAGCCAGTGTTTTAAAAATCTTTACTTACACACGATAATTTTACCTTATCTGCAACATGAGATTTTTATTAAAAAATATATAGAACTTGCTAGTTCTAACTTATCAAATATGCATCTCCTAGCTAAGGAGATAGACATACATATTTTTAACTTCTATGTTTTTATTAGTGTAATAAATGATTCCACTTTACTGACCAGGACTCTTCTTGGGATTCTTTTGGCTGTGTCCAAAGAGTAGCTGAAAAACAATCTAATGCAAACTGCGTACCTGGGTTTCCATAGAGCTGATTATAGTTCACAGCATACAATAAAACTTGCAGACTACTTCATACGCACACTGTAAAACCACAAGAAGTTGCAGTTCATTCTGGGCTGTAGACTGCCGGGATGCTTTATTGAATTCATTTGTTAAACAACTTGATTTTGGAGGACAGCGTAATATTTAAGGAAGCTAAAGACAGCAAAAGAGTAACAGCTTCTTATATAATGAAGTTCTACCTAACAGCAACCCTTTGCATTGTACTCGGAGGTAACTTAGCTAGAAAAAAACATGAGCTTTCAGTAAAAAAAAAAAACAAAACCCACCAGCTGTAGGAAAGCAGTTGCGTTTATCCCAGCCCCATGGTTCCATAGGAGTTGAAATGTACAGTGGACAAGTCTGTAAATGAAATGTATGACGTATAAATTAATATATGAATACTTTTAGAGAAAACTAAGAAAAATGTATGGCCCAACTGGTTTAGTTTATTTGTGTTTCTTTTTAAATTCTGTTTAACTTGTTTAATTTGATAAAATAGTAATTTTCCACTTAAGTGGTCACCATAAAAGCTCAGTTGTTGCTGCTTTATATTTTCTCATCGCACTGTATTGCCTAATCTCATAAATATTCTTCTTCTAAGTGATCATTTATAATAGCGGTACTAAACCAAGAACTTCATAGACCAAGCAACATTGAACTTACGTTCAGTTTCCTATTAGATTTATATCATGAACTGATCTGATTAAATCAAAATATTTAAATAAAAAGTATTGAAAACATAAAGTTGCTTAGTTTATTTTTCTTTCTTTTTTTAAGACTAAATTAGAGATTCAAAAGGCCTTGGCAGAAGACTCTACAGTTTACGAATATGACAGTATTTATGATGAAATGCAGCAGCAGAAGAAAGAAAGTGATGCCAAAGTGTTGTCAGGAAAAGATGACAAAAAGGTCCATACCTGAAAATGTATGCTGTCTGTCTTATCTCTCCATGCTGGGAAAATAGCCATGACTACTTAGCAGATTTTACTGAGGTTCATGATATCCTAGGAACCAGTTGTGCATGCTGTAGTGGGGGCCTACATGTTCTGTGCTCAGAAGCTGAGATGTTATAAGAAGTTTGTTAACTTGCAAGCTCAGCAAGCATGTCTGAACCTTAGTCCAGTGTCATCATTTAGTTGATTTGGAGAGCAATAGACTCATGACGCGCTTCCTACCACTACGCTCTGGGGCAAGGACCCTGTCGTCTCATGCGTTTGCAGAGGACCTGTTATGATGTGCTGATCACGATTAGATCCCGGGAGCACTATAACAGGTTCTGTTTTCACTGTTGGGAAGAGTCCTAACTGAGGGAGGAAATAATGTCTTTTGGCAACAGGACCACATTTTGTAGCAATGAATATATATCTGTTATCTACTTGCTTGCTGGCTTACGGAGGGGCTGTCAGGCAACTAACCAAATTGTATCCTGTCTGTTAAATATGAACCATTTTCCACAGCCCAAATCATTCATGTTTATTCCAAAGTATTAGTGAATGATACTGGAAAGTTGTGTTATCATTGCTCATGTCATTGGGTTTGGGAGTATTTATCAGGTTGTACGGGGTGTAAAAGAAGGTGGCATTCTGTTCCCAGTTAACAAAAGGAAGCGAGGGAGAACTGCCGCTAAACATAAACCTGTCCGAAGAAGGGTTGTGTTGAAAGAAATCAGAGTTCCATCCCCCCAAAGTTAAGGTGAAATTTTTGCTGCCTGTTTCATTGTTGAAGGAAAGGTTTCCATGATCAAGACATGAACTATGTTCATTGAGATCATTATCCCAGCCACAATCACCTCACAAATTAGCTAGACTAGCTACTTTTACACTCACAAACTGATTTTTTTTTTTCAGCGTCCTTAGCAATTCTAACCTGTTCTGACTCAGCCAACTTGATTCCTTCTCATTATTGTTTTTTTTTTTCCACCTTAGCCAAGGTACATTCACAGTATCCTCAAGGCAGCTGAGATAAGAAAGAAGGAAGAAGAAAAACGAATGGATAGAAAAATTCAGAAAGAGCGTGAAATGGAAGGAGGAGTGTTTGATGACAAGGAGGCTTTCGTAACATCGGCCTATAAGAAAAAGCTGCAAGAGAGGGCCGAGGAAGAGGAAAGAGAGAAAAAAGAGGCAGCACTGGAAGGTGAGAGTTACACAGAACACATACGAGTTCTCCTCAGGAGAGAAGCATGGCGTTTGCCTTTAAAAAAGTACTTTTGAATGTGATTTATAGTGTTGTTGCCCTGGTCTCCGAACAGGGCGTGAGATGGTGTATTATGGAAGAGGAGCAAACAACAACACAGGGGACTGGATTGGACTTGGAGGCTGAGGAATAGAAGGTTCCTGCCCTTTTGTGTCAGTAATGATTGGGTGACTTGTTTCGCTTGGGAATTGTTAAAGGAAAAGAATGAGTCAGTGTGCCATAGGGATACTAAAATGCTAGTAGCAATCCTGCCCAATTTGCAGAAAGCTGTCCCAGATGTGAAAGTAATTGTTTTTTGCTGGAAATTGGTAAAGCAGCATACATGTGAAGGGAAGTCACTCTGGCAGCTTCTGTTTCTGGAAATCAGCCCTGCCACATGTGAAAAGGGTCTCATGATTCCTGACTATTATATCATTCTTGTTTTTTTTCCTTAGCATGTCTGGATGTAACCAAACAGAAGGATCTCAGTGGATTCTACAGACATCTTTTAAACCAGCAGGTTGGGGAAGAAGAGATGCCCAAATGCAGCCTTCGTGAAGCCAGGTAGGTCAGAGTTTTTAAAAAGCTCTTTAAATTTGAACCAGTTTCACAGCATTCAAAAGTCTGGTGTCAATAGGATCTTGGGAGGGGAATGAATACCAAAGTGCTGGTAGCAGAAGTCGCATACGTTGTAGAGTTGGCTGGTTGGAAAATGTGAAAAGATCATCATCATTGAGTGAAACTGTGGGAATTGAGAAGGGAGCAAAAGTGCAGGGACCTTTTGTTTTTAATGCTACCAAAGGGATAGTTACGCTGTGTCATGCTGGTGGTTGCGTGGCATTATTACAGGCTGGTTCTTACAGTTTTTTCACCAGCTGCCTTAAGCCAAGAATTTTGCTTCCTCAGGGAGAATGAGTCCGATATTTTTTGGGCCCAGATGTATAATATTATGCAGCTTCACATCACAGCTCATTTTAGTCACCACTTAGAAAATCATGTCCCACATAAATTTACTGAAAAACTTGTGGGTCTTTATCATTGTGCCTGGCCAACATTTTCTCATAAAGATGGAAAAGAGTCTTAATTTTTGTAAGTCTTGTGATTAAAAGGAAAGAAAGCAGATGGACAAAGTCCAGGGGGAAAACTTTCAAAGGTTATTATATGTACCGTTTAAAACAAAAGCATTAAGTGGAGCTGTGTTACTGCTGGAATTGAAGGAACATGGCTCTTTCTTCTCCTCTGGTTAATAGTGATCACTGGGTTTAATTTACTGTAGAGCTGTATTGCAACAAACCAGTACTTTATTCAGCTTAAAACTACCTTGTGGGGACCTTAAACATGGTTGTCAGGGAGTAGGTGGATGTTTGATATTCTAAAAGAATGAATAAGTAGCTTCAATCATGAGGATTTCTGGGACAGAAACTGGATGAACATTTTGTCAGTTCTTGGTTCCGGTGAGGTAGGTGATCATGTTGGAGATCCTCAGCCTGAGGCAGAACTTCTAGCTTGCCTTTTAATACGACGATGTGCCATGTCATTGGAAATAATGGGGAGAGAAAACCAGGGCAACTTATAACAAGAGATAAAAATACTTAGAACTGCAGCTGTTTGTCACTCTGCAGTTTAAAGAACCAGCTAATAAAAGAGCTCGTGCTTGGAAAAGCCGTAGCTGTTTTAGGCTTAACTTTCACTAGCAAAGAGAATTTAAGGAGTCACTCTTAGACATCACCAACACAGTTTCTGTGAGGTCACTTACATGAACTGTTTGTGTTACTTTTGCTTCCTTACAAACATATCAGTACAAGGTATCCTCTGTTTTATCTCTGTGAAGCAGTGCCACTTGTGATTGACTCATTCGCTTTTGTAGTTTTTGAACAATTCTTTGAGGTTGAAAATGCTTTTGTCCAAGTGTGGTTATGTTCAATGCAGGGTTTCAGAATAGTGGCTTCTTAACCATAATGATAAAGTCCTATCGAATGAATGAATGCATCTATGAGGAAAAAAACCAAACAGCAATCTATTCTGTTGCCAGCAACAAAACTATCCGATGAGTTCATCTGAAGATTTCCGTTATTTTTTTTAGTTTTACCACTGGCAATCTAAGGTTACAAAAAAGGCACAAGTAGATTTTCAACTGTTAGACAAAGTTTGAAGCACTCCATAGAGAAAAATCAAACCTTTGGCTTGCCTTCTTGCTCAACTATCGTGGGAAAGTAACTGAGAGAGAATAAATATGGAATGCCCCAATGTAATTTTTTAAAGTTATTTTGCACTTTAAACCATGGATCAAGCATTCAGCCTAGCCAGATGGTCGACTGATTTCTACAGCCAATTTCCCACATACAGACAGTGCAGCAAAATGATTAGTGAAAACAGACATGTGGCTTCTATAATCAAAATGCACCTCCTTATCTGTCAAAAGAAGACTGACCGCTTGTAACCTTTTTGGGCATTGCCCAAGTTTGATATCTGCAAAGTTTCCCATGTTTCCTCTTTTACTGCATGTTGCAAGCTAAAAACAATAACAAGATCTTAGCATCACTACAGCCGCAAGACTGAGGGCCTTGGCAGGAAGCACAGAAATATTCAGGAATATTGAACTGAAATTTAAACTGGTAGGTTTTTTTTATGAGGACGCGTTCAGCATGGGGTGTTCTGTGTACGGCTCCTATTAAAAATAAAGTTTGTAATGCTCAGACACCAAAAAGAGGGGGGAAAATCCCCACCTCTTCCCAATATAGGAATGATGTGGTATGGATGTGAATCACCTAGGAAATGGTTTGCCACATAGGTAGTGTTACCAAAATACAAATCAGTGTTGTATACAGAGCTATAGCTTTACTCATTCTTGAGATCAGTTCATTTGTTTTGCATGTCACCAAAGAGCCTGATGCAGACTTTCAGTACAAAGGATATTAGAACCAGAACAGCAAACTAGATTTGCCTGCTTAGACTTTCCTGTTGCATTACTTGTTAAGTCTCAGAAAGAAATCATGGGCTCCAGAAATGTCTGAGACTGCAGGCTGTGTAATATCTTTTTTTCTGTTTTTTAAATGCTCAAAAAAAATCTAGGATAAAGGAGGAAAAATCTAGCAGTACTTCTGATGAAGCCAGCCAAAGGAACAGAATTCCAGAGGATGGACTACAACTCAAAACCACTCCTAAGCGAAAGGACAAGGATAATCCAGATGCGGACACTGATTTAGAAAGTGAGAGCAGTGATGATGACAAAAAATATAAAAACACCAAAGGTCATTCTAAAAAGAAGGAAAGTCGAGACAGTTCTGCAAGCAGCGGGGATGATCCCCAGCAGCACAGGAGCCGGAAGCACTCCACGTCATCAAGATCATCCAGTGACGAAGGAGGTCATCGTGCAAAAACCCAGTCAAATCATCCTCGGAGAGAAGAGAGTGGAGCAGGTAGAAGGGAAAGCGATGAACGGTACAGGGAAAGCAATTACGAGAGAAGAGGCAGGGCTCAGGAAAAGGATCACCAAAGGAAAAAGGAAGACCAGGACAGATATGGGGATCATGGCAGTAAAGATAGCTACAGAAGGAGGGAAGAGCAGGAGGACAAACGTAGGGGGAGAGATAGAAAAGAGAGAGAAGGATATGACCGAGAATGGAGAAGAGAGAAGGAGAGGGAAGACAAACATGCAGAAAGGGAGCGAGAAAAAGAGAGGTTAAGAAATGGCAAAGACGGATACAGTGAGAGAGAAAGGGAGAGAGGGGGGAAATGCAGAGAAAAGGAGGAATCTGTAAAGGAGAAGAAAGAGCGAGATGATAAAGGTGAAAAGAAACGCAGGGACAGGAAGGAGGGCAGTCCTAGAGCCTTAGAAAGAGACAGCCAGCCTGATCCTGAAAGAGAGCGGGAGAGGGACGATGAGGGAGCCTCGAGCTCTGAAAAGCGCAGGGCTGAAGAGGGAGGGCTAAGCGAAGCGAAAGAGCAGCCGGAGAAGCTGTCAGACGGTGTGAACAAATTCGCCAAGCGGAGCAGTGAAGAGACTGTGACGTCGGCAAGGGACCGCTATTTGGCTCGGCAAATGGCACGAGTTAGCACAAAATCCTACGTAGAGAAAGAAGAGGATTAGCTTGATTTCAGTGGATAAAAAAGAGATGGTAGACTCTCGCTGGTGAGAAAATCGCTACATCAGGGACTCTGCCCCTAGAAGTAAAGTTTTCCCTGGCCGCTTACTCTTCCTGGGGGTTTTATAACATCCATAAAGAATTTAGTAAAACAACATTTTTTTTTTCTTCCTTTGGAATATGTAAGTAGTTTATTCATTTTGTGCCTGCATTTGGTCAGTTGTAAAGGGAAGAGGTTTAATTTTGCTGGTTCTGTTCATGTTGGCTTTCAACATCCTGTCCCCTGTGTCATTGAGACCGAACCACTCCTATAGAGGCTAAACTGAGACAGGTAAGACTGCCACAGTCCCTGCTATCACATAATCCCTGTGACCGCTTGTAACAGCAGCAACTCTGCTGAAGCAGCAGCATGCTTATTAAAAAACATCACTGTTCAGAGAAGTTGACAAAGATTGAGAGAAACACAAAACTAAAAATTGGGAAAATGCAGAAAAAAAATCCAAAACTATAATTTAACAGAACCCTGTATGTATGGGGTTTTTTTCATATTGACCTATTGAAAATGTGGGGTTTGGTTTTGTTTCTAGAGCTTGATGTATGGAAATAATTAAATAAAATGTACATTCTGTACTATATCTAATGCCTTGATTGTTCTTTGTGTCTGTTACTGTAAGTTTTAGTGGAAACAAGCTGCATCATACCTTTCTCATGAGATAAATCGAGGCATATTTCTTCTTCAAGTATTCCAGTTGTACCCGCAGGTTCTGCTAGAATTAATATGCTGGACTTGCCAAGATAAATCTATCTTTTCAAGGTTTTATAAAACTGTTATAGAAATCATTCCAAAACTGTAACTTGTACTGGTAAAAAAATAATACTTTTTATAAACAGACAAGGTTCTTTGAGTAGATGTCGTATCTTTTATTAGACCAACTGAGTTCTCAGTTGGTCTAATAAAAAATATGACGTCTTCTCAAAGAACCTGGCCTGCCTGCGTCCTTCGACCAACACGGCTACAACCAAAAACCCAACATACTTTTATAATACATTTTCAAGCTTTGGGGAGTTTTTTCCACTTGTTCTTCTGCAAGTTTATCACAAAACCCAATATAATTCACATTTATTTGCACTTTAGTTTCACTTTTTTCATGCAGTCCAAGTACGGAACCCACCCACGAACTGATCTGCCCTCTCTCGTACGGTGTTCAGGGGGTTGGCATGAGAACCTTGCCTGGTCTGCAGTTGTCTTGTGAATAAAAAGTAGTAGTCATGTTCAGGTGTCTGAAGGATCACCAGTGTGCAGGTATTCGATTCATCTGCGATTTCTTGGGTCAGTTTGGGACAGCCCCATAGACTGCATCCATTTGCTGATGTTACTGGCATGTGGATAACTAACAGCTACCATGTGAGCCAAAGTATTATCCATCTTTTTGCTGCTTGGTATTTCTTAAAAAAAAAAAAAAAAAAAGTCTTTTCTGAATTTCCCTTTCAGGTGGCAGAATGTTTTTAGACATTCCTCCTCAACTTGTTTTGTTCTTTTTCTCACATCTGCTTCCCATTAGCAAGGGAATTTGAGGCTGGTTTTATGAAGAAATAGTAAAATGTGCGTAGTATTCCTCTTCTGTGTTTTCCTGTCGCAGCTTAGTCGTTGAATTCATCAAGACATTGGATTTTACTCACGTCCTTAAGGCACTAAGAAGCTGAAGATGGCAGGTGCCAAGTGAACCTTTAACACAAAGAACTGAGAAGTTTGAAGTGATTTACCAAATTAATTCTAAGTGCTCCTAAAAACTAGAAAGGATTTTGAAGGCTGCACTCCTTCCCGTACTTGTCCACGTCTCCCAGAACACGCTTTGTTCCTGTCCATCACAGGCCAGTTCCAGTGACCGAGGCATGCTGGACAGTTCTGAGATCAATGAGTGGAATATTGAAAGGTGAAATTCTTTACCTGAGTCCAGTTGAAAATTAGGTCACGAAAAGACAATGCCTTTATTCTTGTGGATCTCACTTTTAATTGGAGTAGTTGTCAGTTTATTATAGTAACAAAGACTTGGAATACGGTATTTTCAAGGTATTAATGCCTGCTGGGGGCATCTCTCTGCTGCATTCTGGACCATCTTTTAATCTCCAGGAAGTACCATACACTTCAAGCATCTTTCCTTTTGAAAGTAAAGCAATGTTTCTTTGTTCTAAGTAGCCTTTACTGTTTTGAGGTTATGGGAAGGAAGTTTTTATATTTCAATTGGAGACTTTCAGCGAACAGTAGGAGGTACGATATAGAACCCAGATGCTCCAGCTCCTCCTCGGATACAAGTTAGCTCACTTGCTGGTCGTTTCTTGATAAAGCTGAGAAAAGAATGGCTGGTGTTTTAGGCCTAGGATTTGACATCAGTTAGGGCCACAGGGTAGTTCGGGTGACTGAAGTACAAGAGCAGCTGAGTCCACTGCCAAAACCTGGACCGCTTTCAACATCTCATGAATCCCGGTTCTCAGAGCAAAGTTGGTTTTCATTTGTTCTCTGTGTGGTGGTAGCTTGTTTGTACAGTTTACAGGAAAAATCACAAGCTGCTTTATCAGCGTGCTTACATTTAAGTATGCAACCTCTTGGTCTGGAATCCCTGCTTTCAATTGCTTTATTGACTGTTCCCAGGCTAAAGCAAAACAGAGGAAGTTCCTGATATCTGATCCTAAACTTAATCTTGCCCAGCACACTTTCTCTTTTCTGTCCTAACAGAGAGCACCCCTCCCTTCAACCTTTCCAGCCCTTACCCAGTTCAGCTCCCTACAGCTGTTTCCCAAACCAGATGAAATATATTTGGTGGCATTTTACCAAGCAGTTTGCTTTTGGATAGCTCCAGCTTTGTTTTAGCCAAGGAGCTGGGGAGAAAGCAGACTTGTTTCTGTACATCTGCTCAGTGGCTAGAGGAAATGCCAGCTGTAGCAGGCAAAGAAAAAAGCAGCAAGTATATGGGTTGGTCCTTTTATGGGTCTATTTACAATGAAATAAATACTTTCTAGGGAGGGAGGTAATCCTGAGAACATATTGCTTACAAAGGCTTTGGTTATCTCAACTACAAAGGGTGATTATAAGATACAGAACGTGATCTTCCAACTTCTCTTCTTGGGAAGAAATAATAAAACATCTTTTCTGCTTGTAAAAATTCAGTAGTAGAATGAGGACGGCAGCCTGGACCCTCCTCTTGATCTCACTCCAGCATCTGAATGCAGAGGACAGTGGAGCTTCACGCTTAGAGGGGTGATAATGTTAAGTCGGCTTTCTCTTCGACTTGGGTTCAGCTCCAGAGAAACTGCACCTACTTATACTACGTTTAAATCATGACAAAAACCTTCAGCCGAGTTGTCTAAAAAGATTAATACTTAGTGGGCCCGTTTACATGTGCATTTATGTTGCATTAAATTCACTGCGCAGTAAGTTACTGCACAGTAAGCAGAAATAGGCCGATGTCTATGTGTGCAGGCGCTAAAGTGCATTAATGCAGTGTGTGGTCTGACCTTGGCACTGAAGTTAGTCCCAAGTCAGTCCACACAGTGTTACTGTGCAGTAAGGTGTTTACACGTGAGTTACCATGCAGTGACTAATCAGGTGTAAATTTGCCAATTTGCCAAGTCGGCATAAGTCACCATAGTTACTGCACAATATAGGCGTGCATGTGTAGATATGTGCCCATACTGCTCATCAAGTTAGGGTACCACACAGTAAATGTGCATGTGTCAACGCACCCAGTATTTCTAGGCAGATGTCTTGAACAGAAATTTTAAACAAATGTGTATTCTTAACTGTAGCCCCATCCAGCTACCTGCTTGCTTCACAGTTTGCTCACCAAGCTTGTGTGTATGCAGATAAAACACCAGTTTTAAAAATTTAAATACAGAGTCGTATCGGCTCACAACGACCTTAAATGGAGTTGGTTTGATACGCGAGTTTATTGAGCAATTTTGCATCGACTCCAGATGTGGAGGAGTTTGCTTTTGCTATTCTGTTTAAACAAATGTCATGGCTATTGGTTCATCTGTTATTGTGGACCCAAACTGATGTTCTAAAGAGTGGGCCAAGGGATACTCGGTGCAAGGAATACTCTGCTCTTTGTTGGAGCAGTCTTGTCAGTGTGGTAAACTGGGTTGACACCTCTGCTCTCTGGGATGGCTGCTTTGCTGAAACGGAGTCTTAGAGTTGCTGGAAAATAGGTAATGTTTTAAAGTCAAATGTAGAGTAGAGATGAGACAAACACCTGCAGATTTATTATGATATTAAATTTATTACAGTAACAGTTTACAATACAAGGCACATACTGATGACTTACAATCCAGCTTGTAACACTCGTAACTAAACAGCTGCATAAATTAATACAGGTACATGGTATACAAGTTGGAGGGAATATTTATTTCTGTACAAATAAAACTCCAGTTTAATGCTCCTCCTAAAGCTTAAAAGTCAAACATACTCCCAGTTCACAGAGGAAGGTAAAACTGGCTTTGGAAGTTTCCGTATCACTTTTCACATCAGGGAATGGGGTTTTATGGCATTCTGTGTAAGGAACTGGTAAATCAATGAGGAAGAAAAGGACTTTGTGGTCTGAAAAGCTTTCAAATCTGGTGTGTAGCCCCTTTGGCAACCGTAGAACTAAGATTTTGGTGAAAGAGAGATTCCACGTCTAATGCATGTATAAAATTACTTATTGAGCTAACTGATAATTACTGACATTGTTAATGATTTTGGAATAGTGTGTAAAAGGAATAAAAAAGGTAGTGGTAACCATGAAAATAAATGAAATGGCACAACATGGCTTCAGCCTGTGAGCTTCTGAGCTAACCAGAGATGTTGGGGAAACTAACTTGTGATCAGAATGAAGACTTAAGAAAACCTCAAGCCAATGTGCAATTAAAAATTTGTGGGAATTAAAGTAGTATGCCTGTTCAGCTCTTGAAAAGGGGCACGTGGGGCGGGGGGTGTGTTTGTGTGTATGTATGCGTGGGTTACATCTTTGCATTATATTGAAAAAGAAAGTTCTGCACTTTAAAATTTGTTTTCGGAAGGCATGCTGATTCCCTGTTCCCAAAATACACCAGAAAGGCCTTGATTTGGATTATGCCTCATGAAGAGGATGTCGTTAAAAATGGTTCTGCATTTTATACTTACAGAATCCCTCCACTAAAATCTGAACTGTGACATTCAAACCAGCAAATAAAATCTCCTTAAGCAAAGTTTTCAGTGGGTAAAATATGAGCATCTCCTCTATATCCCTTCCGCTTAAGAGAATTTCTTTTGTGCCATTTCAGTTTCTGTCTTCAGCTTTCTGCACAGATATAACACTTGCAAATGAGAACATGCATCCCTCCTGGGGTCACACGACTTGGAAAAGATAAAGATGAGACGAAAAGGTGTTTGATTGTTTCTTCCTCTTGGAAGTGTTGCTGTTGGACCAGTTCTCTTAAAACCTAGGACATTTCATCCTTCTGAGAGGCAAAGAAAGGAAGTCTTTTGGGAGGGGATCTCTCCTTTCTCTCTCTAAGAATCACTGTTCTTTAGGACAGGACCTATATTTCCATCTGGGTTTGGGAAAGAGCACACGCATGGTGGGCTTCTAGTTATTTAAGGTGACACCTCTCGATCGGGTTGGATGACTGAGTTACTCAGATCGATTGCACGGCATCTCAGTGCTTTAATACTGAGAGTCATACTTCACGCTAAGCACTGAGAAAACAGCGGTGCTGCTTCTGAATTTCCTTGCTGTGTTAAGTAAAATGGATATCCCAGCTAAAATTCTTGAGGCTTGAGAAAATTAGCCAAACCTTCTCTTTCAGAAGTCTGAATTTTCTTCTGACATTCTAGATATGCAGAATGTGCACATTACGGTCATTCCTCAAAGGAGATCGGGACAAATAAAACATACACCCACATTAGCATGTCTTTGTTTCCCTTAGTGCTTATGTACAAGTACAGTAGCTTCTTAATCAGTAGTTGGGGAATTCAGAGAGAGATCCTCGCAGCTAATTTTACCGGTGGTCCAGCCAACAGGTTAATTTACAGCTTCTTAATTGCCATCTTCCTTTGCCGAAACTTGCAGCTTTCAAATTTCCCAGGTTTTCTGCTCTGACAGCTAACACTTTTGAATGGCAGTTCTCAGATGCTTTGAAATTAAGCCCGGGCTTAATTTCTCTGCAGAATCTGAGGCCTGTTTGGCATCATCTGACTGTCAAGGTAGTGGTTTCTTCTTTCGGGGTTTCCTCCAGTGCCCAGGGAAGTCAGTTAAGACTTATCCATCTGATGCACAGTGTATCAGTGGTAGGGCTCCTGTTTAAGCTCAGGGTATTCTGGCTGATGTCTGCTCCCCTTGGGCACCTGTTTAATTTTCTGTGCTGAAATCGCCCAGGAAGCCACTGCTTGTTGCATATTACTGTCTGAATAGGACAAATCAGGATTTGGGGTTTTTTTTGCCCCCCAGTTACAATTACAGTAATAAGGCCATAATATGGCATTGCCACACAGTTCCCATACTCTTCCAACGCCCAGGAAAAAGCAGAGATTTCTACAGAGGTACCTGGCAGAATTCACGTCCCATGTTCCACTTTGGGAAAGGACCTTTCTGGCTTCACTGTGGATAGTGCCCTTTCTGAACCTAACCACCTTCTGCTTCCTGCTGGATGGCAGCCGACTGTCTCCTTGTGCTGTGTTTTGTAGCAGGACTTAGTAAAAACTAACAGAAAGCAGAGCTGTGAGCTGAGTTTTTAAGCAGCACTTTTTTTGAATGAGCCTAGCAAAGCTAGCTGATACTGTTTGCTTTGGTGCAGGCAGAAATTCAGTTTATATTTGGTGTCTGTTTAAAAATAGTAAGTGACACTTCTGGCATGGGTTGGACACGGACCAGCTGGGATTGCCTAATCTGATTTAGTGATTCTTTATTTCCCAAAAGTGATGTAGGAAGTGTGTGATTATCCTGCTTGTTCTATGCTGCAGCTTCATATGTACTTCTTCAATAACAAGCTCATGGCAGAAACGTTTAACAATCAAGTGGCTTCTAATTTTCTGGTGCTTCTGCTTTACTGGTGATATGAAATATTAGATAGTTTTAAATGTTAAAAAAGCACGTCCTACACGGGTTTTTTTTAGTCAACTTGTGTTCAACTCCAGCATACCCTATGTCCGCTCAGTGTAAAATCCATTTTAAAAGTCACTTTTACATGTAGTGAGGGTTAAGTTGCAAGTCATTATCCAGTGAGAAACAGATTTATTTTGTCTCTCATGGTGCTGTTGGAACAGTATTTCCGTTAGACAGGACTTGTGTGGCCCTAGTACTCTTTGTCAGCAGTTTAGACCAAATTAATCTTTCGCTGCTCTAAATTATTTCCTTGGAAGTGGGTTAGGTTAAACACCTAACGATAAATGATCTCACATCTACCGGGTTACTCTAATAGGCATGCTTTGGAGTAGATGTCTACATACAGAGGGAGAAAACCCTTGTAAGATGTATAGTATTTAGATGACAAACACGTGAGTACACTCCTTTGTGCACAAGGCAGGTTCTTTCTGTTGCTGTAAGCCTTTCCCCCTCTTTTTGCTGGTTTCTGAGTGTCTGCCTCTATAAATCCACATGTGACCTCATTTTTAGCACTCCATCACATAGGCAGAGGTATCAGGAAGTGTTATGCCCTATTTTAATTTCATTTGTTTAGGGTTTTATAACAAAACTTTGTAAGGCTGCAAGTGGTAGGGGTAAAAATATAACATAAATCTTCTTTATTTACATAGTAACTACATAGGTTTAGCTAAGCAACTTCCATCTAACTGCATAGTCATTCTGTGGTCCTGCAGTTGACGTGGCAGTAGCAGTTAGTCAGAAGTTTACTCACTATTTAACCTGCTCCCTTATTTGGAAGGTGCAAGTACATATATATGCTGTATTGAATTTAAAGTTACATGGAATTTAAATTGCAATTAAATGCTCTAAGTTATATACCAACAGTTACCATTAGGATTCACCCTTGCAGAATTTCACTCAAGCACTTGTTCAGGGTAAAATATCCCCCATCCCCTCCCCTTTCATCTTCAGGGTAAAGGCTAGAAAAAGTTGATTTTAGTACAGACTGCTATATTTTTGGTAAAGCTTTGTAAACCACCAAGTCTAAAGAGCTACCCCAAATTTTAGTTTTGTAACAAGAAAACAATAGGAAAAAACCACAAGCTCCAGCAGATTATAGCTGTGGAGTACAATTCCCATAAACAAGCAATGGTCCAGCTTCTGGCATCTGACCTTAAAGCAATTCACATTGGGCTCCCGTTTCGAAAGAAAGTAGTTTGTCTGGGAAATGTCATTGTGAGTATGTAGCTAAAAGTGATGGAGAGATGGCAACGGAGCGTAGCATTTGCTAACATCATCACAGCTTGTCGAGTGACCTATGACCAAGAAGTGGGTGGGCTGACTGTTTTGTGTAACTGGTCCCAGACAGAAATGGGAAGAGGCTAAGCATTTTGTGAAACCCAGAGCTTTAAAAATCATTCTGGCGCGTGTGACTTTTGCAAGAACCAACTAAAGGGAACTGGTGTGGTCCAAAGTGCACAACAGAACGTAAGAACACCAACAGTGCTGTACTGGGTCAGACCAGTGGTCCAGCTAACCCAGTATCCTGTTTTTGACAGAGGCAGAAGTGGTATAAGGAACAGGGGAGGAAAATGCTCCTATCTGGGTGTGCTACTGTGTACAGAGCAGTACAGTGCTCTTTGGGCTTGTTTCCTACATCATCCTCTGCTTGTTCCACAACAAAATACCCTAGGGTCTGAGAGTCCTATTCATTTTTTAAGCTACAAAGCTCTGAATAACTTGGGTAGTATATGGCTATCAGAACTATTTTCCTGTATTTTTCAACCTTTGTTGAAGCAATGAGATCCTTAGAAGCAAATACAACATGGTCCAGTACAAATGGTCACATTGAGGAAGGTACAGGAGTACAGCCACAGACTTGAGATTCTAAATCTAATCCTAACTGATGATATTCATCCTACGTTTTAGGGACGATTGAGGGAGTCACACACGCTTCCAGACGGCCCCGGTGCTCATCCACCGAGTGACTGCATTCTCTCTCACACACACACACGCACGCAATATCCTCATGTTTCCTAAATGAATTAGTTCAGCAGTGAACTTGTAGTCTGGTTTGCAGTGCACAGCAGATTTCATGGAAATGTTTGGATATGTACGCTGGAGGCACCGTGCTTCCAGATGCACATTGCCGGTTTCTGAGCCTGTGCGGAAAACTCCCTCCTGTTCCTTGGCTTAGCTGGAAACTCAATTCTTTGGAGGAGGGAGCCTCGGGAAAGAAACATTGATGTCGTTTTTTTCCCCCAGAAAAGGTAGGTTAGCTTAAACAGCGTTCATGCGGATGTCCCCAAAAGGGATCTCTGTGGCTGTCTCCGGAGTAATGCTTTTTAAAACACGCTGTTGAGAAGAAAACACACTAGTCAGAAGTGGAGCAGTTTTCAATTTCAGGTAGCTCTCCCATTATTTGAAAGAACGAACCAGCGAACCAGCGGAGACTGTAAAGAAAAACCTCACCCTCCTTTAGAGTATCTGCCTTCCTCACGGTTGTGGCCCAGGCTCAACACGCGTTTGTACAGCACTATGCAGAGGTGAAGCACTCTAAAAGTGTACACTCTCTGTCTCTAATTGATGCGCGTTATTGCATCCAGCTACTCTAGAGAGTTTCTCAATTATTTGCTCTGGGACTCGGTCATTTATTTGAATCCCATGACCTTTACTGAGCATCTCTTCTCCTACTGGATCTTCGTGTATACCTCATGAGAGCTCCCAAAATGACATTCCAGCTGGCCGTGGATCTCGTATCGAAATGTGGGGAGGACTGTTTGTTTCGGATAGGGGTAGTGGTGCCTCTGTGGATTTGGCTGTCTGCCTGCGACCTGGAGACAGTCAACTAAAGCTCTTTGAGTTGCATTGGCTGCCTCTTTTCTTCTGTCCATAATAAACTTTTTCCCTTTCTGTGGTGGCTGGCAGAGAAGAGAAGTATCTGCCATTCCTGAAAGTCTGAAAACGCTTGTGGGCTCGCAGCAGAGTATCACTGTTTGTACTCTCTACCTGCATCTCTGGCCACCAAATCCAGAAAAACTCAACACTTCGTACTCAAACTGACACTCTCCCTTTCTATAGCACTTTTCATCCATACCTTGAAGCACTTCACTGTTGAGGGTTATACTATCGGACACTATCTTCTCAGCACTTGACCGTCTTAAACATGACCAATTGCCATATTTAGGGTCAGGAAGGAATTTTACCCCATGGTCAGATTGGGATAGACTGGGGGGTTTTGTAGTGGGGGCATGGCCCTCTTCCTGGGAACTCTTGAGCATATATTAACAGCTTTTTACAGAAGCAGGACATTGGCCACTGTGGTTCCCCTATGGCAGGTCTGGGCGTTGTGTCTTGTGTTGTGTCAGGGTTGGCTGTAGTTTTGCTAGGAGGTTAGACAGTGGATTTGTATGGGATGGTTTGGATAGGGATGATCTTGCCTCAGGCAGGAATTAGACTAGGTGACCCATGGAGGTCCCTTCCAGTCCTGTCTCTGTGATTCTATGGTACAAGCCAACAGGTCCACGTGTTACTGGCATGATTGGGCTGGGATGAACACATACTTTTTGTAGTGCTTACCTTTGCATGCACCACCTGGAAGATATGCAACCATCTTTTACAGCCTTTCCCAATCCCTTTGGTATCGCTAGGGAGAGCACACTTCCATCCCTTCTCTCCCAAAAGGAACTGAAACAACTAGAACATAGCAGATACCTCTTTAAATGTTCCTGCGGTGGTTGATAACCGGTAAACCATGTAGACTGGAATGCAGATGAAAGAGGAGGTTCCTATGCAGTAACCCACTATGGTGGTCCAGTAGGGATAGCTGTACTGGAAAAGCCGGAGGTCGGGAGGACTGGATATAAAACTGCAAATGATGAACTGAAATAGAAATCCCAGAAAGTGTTAGAGCTTGTGGAACCCGCTGCCCAAACGGATCATTTGGAGCAAGTGCTTAGCCCAGGTTGAAAGAGGATGGCACACTCTCTGTTTCTAATTGACGGGCGTTGTACACTCTCTGTTTCTCTCGGTACACTTCTGCAACGGTATGGGAACCCCCAGCGATGCTAGCCAGCATAAGAAAAATAAATCAAAGGGATAAAAAAACCCCTCATACTTCAGGTGATAAGCAAGCCACTGCCTGAGAAGATTTTAGGGAGAATATTTTACTCCTGAGAGTTTATTCCATAGTGACCTGTTATGCTCGCATCCAAAGCTAAATTTAGAAACAGGATATTGCAATAGATGTTGAGGGTGGAAGGAATCATTAAATCATCCTGTCTGACCTCTTGTGTATCGCAGACAATGGAGTTTCACCCTGTCCCCCTGTGTTCAACTCAGTAACTGTGGTCTAACTAACATGTTTCTTCCAGAAAGGCATCCAGTCTCGCTTTGAATGCACTGAGAGAGAGAACCCAGCACTTTGTTTAACCATTAGTTAAATCGCCCTCAATGTTAAAATGTTTGCTATATTTCTGATTTGAATTTATTTGTGTAAATTCCAGCCACTTGTTCTTTTTATGTTTTCCTCTTGTAGAATAAATAAACTTTTAGGAGATAATATTTTCTGGCCATGAAGTTGCTTTTATATATGTTAATCAAGTCCCCCTCCATCTTTTTGGTATGCTAAACACAATGAGCTCTCCAAGTCTTGTGCTACAAGGCATATTCTCAAGCTCTTGAATCATTTTTGTGGTTCTTCTGCGCCCTCTCCAGTTTTTCAGCATCCTTTTTAAAAAGTAGACACCAGAACTGGACACACTGTTCTCTTCCCAGTTTCCCCAATGCTACATACAATGCCGTATGTCATCTTATTCTATATATACATGCAAGTCATATCAACCCTCAGATGTATAGGTGTCCTACAGCCCTCATCTGTTGTTGAATATTTGTATGCAGTTTTTGATTACGTTCTTCTACTGATGTTTTTACACACATACACACACACTCAAAAGATTTTGCTTTGACTCCGGTGTGATTAAAAATATTTAAAGTGCAGATCTCATAGCCAGTAGTTATATGTTGGAAGTGAGTAGGTAGGAGAGAATGGGGAAGGGCGTTTTCTTTTGATGACATTCAGCCTTCATCCTCAATTTCTCTGCCAAATCACAAATCACCTACGGGGCCCTTACTTTCGTTCAGTTCCTTGGGGCTAAAAGGGGTAACAGTACGAAGGGCATGGGCACGCCTGCAAGGTAACGGAGGAAGGGGGTTTGCAGAGCATCAGCCAGACAATTATCTTGGAGCAGCTAGATGCACTGGAAATCCTCCACCTTGTAACCTGGTTGTGTGCTCGTGCCCCAGGACAGCGTCGTTCCAGCCTCATACAAAAGCAGATCTGAGCCAGCCAGATGGGACGGTCAGCACACTCTGTACTGCCTGAAGTCAAACTACGTTAATTAAGTATTTGGCTGGAACAGCACAGTATTGGTGTTGGTAACTATTACAGGAAGGAGCTCTAGCTCAGTTTTCCCTGGGTTTCATCAGGGGATTCAGGTCACTAGGTGATTTGCAAACTTTCCATAAAGAGACGACAAACCTTCTTCTGGGCTTTTCTTAGTTTAGTTTAGTTTCCATAGAGACTGCAAATATCAGGTTTGCCTAGTAACCACACCACTGAAACCAAATTGCTCTTCATTTAATTGAATTTTATTGTTTCAAGACCATAAAGAGAACAGAAGTGCATAATTTATGTGTGGTTACACATCTATTTATAGCTTTTTTTTCTGTCTACAAGTCATAAAATGAAAATCAGTTAAACACACATTAATCACCCCAGCAGTGTTTTGAGTTCACTGGGAAGGCCTTAAAATCTAGATGCTTTGTTTCGTAAACCTCCACTATACTCTTTGTACCCAAGGGAAGCTACAACAAAAGACAGTGTGAACTGGTTTTGGAACAGGGCTTAAAAAACTCTGTTTAAAAATGTTGCTAATAACTTTGCCAAGTCAGCTGTTGGGACGGTAGCTCCAATTTCTGATTAGAAGTTTATGAAGGATGCAATCTGCTGATGTGGATTTTGGCTAGGTGGATTCTGCAGTTGCAAGTCAGCTAGTGTTCAAAGAAGACATTAGCTTGCTATCTGGTTTTCTTTTTTTCTGTACTTACTATCATTATTTTTTGCTATTTCATCTCACTGAGATAAACGTGAAAGCAGTGGAGGGCGCCAGCATAGGTTATTAAAATTTTCCAGTATCATGAATGTTTATCTAAATCACGCATGAAATGCTTGCAAGCATTGATCTCCTTTACCCAATCCTAGCAACATTTATTAGATTTGTCTCATTAACTGCATGTTGTCAGTTTACAAAAGCTGTCTTTAAGCAATGCGTGGAGAATAATGTAAATGAAAATTGTGTGTGTGGATGCTAAGGTACTGCATTATTATATTGATTTTATTGGACTGAGGAGGAGAGTTGGGAACATGAACTCACCAAAAGGAAGATGGGGCTGATTGCTACCCAACAAATTCGCCAATACCAGCCTGGGGTGAAGCCCAGCATTTCCTTCACATCACTGCAAAACCGGGTGATGCCTATGAAAATAAATGAGCGGTGGACAGCGGCACGTTATTCAAACACAGACATAAATAGGAAATAGATTTAGCACCCAATATGAGACAGGGTCAAGTGCACAGAGACCTCAGTTAGTCTAAATTACTTAACGCCTCCAATTGCATGTGGATTTCAGGATTGTATTGTACTTCCATGACAAAGGAATCAGAAATATCGCTTTCAGATTCAGTAATACGCGCATTGTTTTTTCTGCGAGACATCAGTAAGCCTGAACACAGATGGAGGAAATACCAGCCGGGGTTTCTGGTCAGCCTAGATTGTCAACAGGGGAACATCCTTACCATAGAACCAGGCCACAGCAATCGATTCCAAGAACACCACTGTTAGGACAGCTGGCCCTGTGGCGTATTCTTCGAACAGCTTCACCACATACGCACCTCCCTAGGAAGGAGATGATGGCACCGATTATGCAGAATCCCCAGAATGACAGCTCTAATGCCGCTAGTTATATGTTGCCCTCATTGGGAGCAGAGTATATTCATAGATCTGAATTCACTCTAAACTCATCACTTCACGTTGTTCTGATCTGAGTAATCCTTGACAGTGCTTGTGACCTCTCTGCTCTCCGCATTATACTTTCCTCTAATCATGCTTTGCAAATGAAGCCATCCCGCAGAAAAGTTGAAATAAGAGCTACTGGCATTTCTAGATGGGATCTACACCTTTCCATGCAATGACAACTTCCTTTTCTTTCCCTGAGCCTTGGTTACTAGGCAGGAAACAAAATGTGTATTAGTCTCTGTTCTTTCCATTTGGGAACAGGACTTGACTAAAGAGCGGGGGTTGTGTCTTGGAGAGGAGCTCTCCCTCCTTGTTACGGTGAACGCTTTGAACACAACGAGAGCAGGGGAATTTGAACAGTGGGACCAAACAGAAATGGTTTTAGGCAGACACGGTATTTTGGGTAAATGTGATCTCTTTTATCAGACCAACTAAATAGTTGGAAAAATTGTTCTTTACAAGCTTTCGGTCACAACCGCCCTTTTTCAGGCGTAGGGAGAGTCTGCTAGTGGTTTTATAGAAGCTACACTCTTAATCCAGTTTTTGCACCAGTTACAGCAGTGAAACCCCATTGCTGGCCACAGGGTTGCACAGGCATAACTAAGAGCAATATACAGCTTTTTTGATAGGAAGGAGATGCAAGGTCTGGGAATTCAGCTGTGAGTTATTAGCAAGTAGTCGGCATTTCTGGTGCCCCGGTCACCAAATTCCAGTTGCAGTTCCTAGAGGAAATTGTTTTTCTTATTCTTTTGTTGCTTTGAAACGGTCCAAACGCTTTGATAATGAATGTGGCAGTATTTAAGTCTAGAAACCTAGGATTTGGAGGGAGGTGAGGCAAGTGCTTATATTTGTGAAGGTTTGAAGGATGAACCCACTTAGTGGGGTCAAGGTTTGAACAGTACTGGTGTGGTTCATGATGCAGAACGTGTTGGAGGTTTTCTGGGTTCAGTACTCTGTGAGATTCCTCTCTGAGTGAAACTACTGGCGTACATTTGACTGATGGTCTCTAACCCATAAGGAAACCAGCCTCCCTAGCCTGGATTGCTCGTTTTTGTGCACATTTTGTGTGTCCAGGAGATGCTTTTGGAGAAACGGTGGCCCACCCAACATGTCACCTAGGGCTCTGAACCGGCGAACAATGTTGAGAGCAAACCGGTGAGGTACTTACATACGTTAGGGTTGATAGTGACCCCAAGAAGCAAGTGATGATCAGACCAAGCACAAACCATTCCCTGCGCTTGCCCCAGACGTGTGGGAATTCATCCAGCACTGCAGTGATCACCCCTTCCAGCCCTGCAAACTGAAGAGCATGACAAAGAGATGTAGGAAGAGAACGATGTCCACGGTGCAACTAATTAAGCTGCAGTCAGGACAGTGACCCATTGGCACTGAAGTGCATCTGATGCTGGACGTTCGGCATACTCTGGAGTATTTCCACATGCCTAACCCCACTCATCCACCTGCTCAGAGTACTGTGTACTCACCGTGCTGTCTAGTCCCAGAGTGATTAACATCAGGAAAAATATGATGGCAAAAAAGGTTGAGGCAGGCATGTTTGCGATGGCCTCTGCATAGGTAATGAAGAGAAGGCTGGGACCTGGTGCAAGAGAGGACAGGAGATGATCACCCTGCTGCCTCTCTAATAGAAATGCCTTTGTCCACAGGGGAAGATTTCAATTTGAAGCCACGGTAGGGCTCGCTAAATCATATCTAACATGACTTCTACATCCTTTCCTCTTCGGGGAACAATTTCAGAGCTGTGGTACACCACAGACTGCTGTCTTTGCCTGTTTTTCTTTGTTACGGCCCTTGACATCGAGTGATATGATTTATTATACATATTTTATTAGATTTATATAGAACGCATCTTTATTATGTGAGAATATAATACACAAAGTAACGTAACGTACAAAGCATTTTGCATAGTTAGGGATGGTTGTCCCCAGCCAAGGTTGATCCTCCTGGACTTGTAATCTTTAATGAGCCCTTAGGAGGTAAAATGCATCCCAGCCTGGAACACGTTATATGCATTTAGGAACAAGCTATATCTAAACTTTGGAGAAAATTTGAGAGAGAAGCAGAATACTTTAACCCACCTGTATCTTTGGCAACCTCGGACACATCTTCGTTCCTCATCTCAGCCATGTATCCAAGCACGGTGAAGATGACAAATCCGGAGACAAAACTAGTCATGCAGTTCACCGTGCTCGTAACCAGCGCGTCCCTGCAACAGAAAACCCAGCGCGTCTCAGGACCCCAGCACCTGCCAGGTTATGTCCAGAGGGAAAGACTGACTGCTGGGTGTTCACCCAGGGAGGTGGGGGATCTCCTTCCTTGGACCTCGCTGGACAAAGCCCTGGCTGGGATGATGTAGCTGGGGCCGGTCCTGCTTGGAGCAGGGGGTTGCACTAGATGTGACCTCCCGAGGTCCCTTCCCACCCTCAGTTTCTGTGATCCTTTGTTCATGTTTGAAAGACTGCGGTCTGCCTAGAAGCCCAGGTTTCAATACTGACACGGTCATTTCAGCCCTGCAACGTTCCAGGGCATATGATTAGAAACGCATTGAGTTTGCGACGTGAGGATCCTTTGGGAAAAGGCCTCTAAAACAAAGGACCTGTCTGGTTTGTGTCCCTGTTAAAATCCTGTGGCACTTTTTGGAAGAACGAGGCTTTGCCTTGGTGCCTTTGGCCAAATGTTTTCCTTCACTGCTGGTTGTACACCTGACTGCTCTGTTGTACCTCAGAGGCAGCTGCATATTCCTAGTGAAATAACCATTGTACTGGTATGTACTGGCAGTTTCTAGTTCTGAGACAATTGCAGACAACTCTGCCCAGTGCCGTTTGGTAGTCATCTCTCTGCAGCTATCGAAAAGTTGTATTCTTTAGTTATAAGGATCAGCAGTCTGATCTTGAAATGAGACAAAGTGTGTCCCTATTTCTCGAGCGTCTCTTTCTCTTGTCCAGCTCATAGGGTTAGTACAAGATGTCGTTTCTCCCTTGGATAGAAGCGTAGTGTCTGATGCGTCTAAGGAAGAATTTCAGACATTTAATTCAGTTTCTTTTTGGATGCCTCTGCGCATTAGACGCACTGTGCGAAGGTGAATAATACAGGATTCAAATTAATCCAGCAGCAGCTTTACAGAGAATGAATTGCTAGTTTCATCTTATAAAACATAATAAGCATCCGTAAGAACGTAAGGAAACGACCACAACTATCCTTTCCTCTCCAGGCTCCAAGTCTCATTGGCAGTGACTAAATGAGTTGCGATCCGCTTTCAGTGGTGGGCCCAGTTCAAGCTCTTTTTGACAGGTCTTCACATGATAATGAGTTGATAGTAATTAGCATCCCTATTGGTGCGGTGCTGCAAAGGTCAAGAGTGACTTGGGACTGGAAACTCTTTGAGGTAAGGAACGGGCATCTGTTTAGGGTTTGTGCAGTGAGTAGCATGTAGGGTTTCTGAAGTAGGGGCCTCCCAATGCTGCTACCACAACACACACACATAATAATAATTCACTACAGATGGAAAATAAAATGGCCTTGAAACTTGGTCAGAATTGCAACATTATGTTTCTCTTTTTAAAATATATATTTATACCCAGGATGTTTACACCACACTTATCCAGTTGTTGGTTGTTTTTTTATGTGAGGTTAATGAGAATAAGGTGGGACTCACTGGTAGCAGTTGTTGTGGAACTTGTTGTAGCTGGCAAAAGCTAGGAGGACCCCAAAGCCTGGACCAAGAGAGAAGAAAATCTGAGCTGCAGCATCCACCCAAACCTGAAAAACATTAGAAGCAGAGGGTCAGGAAAACATGGAGCAAATGCGTCTGGCAGGTCAAGGTCGTTGTAGCGGCGATAATCCAGGGTATGAGAGAAACTGGCTGAAGACAGACCTTGCTTTTGCCCTGGGAGAGAGATTTTTTTCCCAGGACAAAGTGAAGCCGTTCAGACGTCTATGTCTGTTGTTCAGGGATAAACCCTAAAAAGGTTCCTGGGATCAGACGTGCTAACAGTTTGTCCTGGGACATGGTGAGGTGCATCTGAACGGTTGTCCTGGGATTGCCTCAGCGAGAAAAGTGGCGATGCCTTGCACCGCTCAGTAAGGCCCGATTAGAAGGGTGCTATGCGTGCATGCCAATCCCATGGCTTTTCTGTTCTGGGACAAACACGAACACAACTTGTCCTGGGACAAATGCAACATCTGTTTCTAGCCATGGCACGCGAGTTGAAATAATATTATCTCCCCTCATCTGTAGCTCGCAGAGACGAGACACAAACCTTTGGGCTTCTGGCACCCTCTGCTACATGCGACTGATGAAGTGTCACCCCGTGCTCAGAACTGCATTTCCGCGGCTTGCAGGGGTTGCAGCCCTATTCCAAAGAGTTTATTACACGGGGGAAAGATGTGACACATGCTCTTGTAGGTTTGTGACAAAGCAAACGTCCAGCACAGGGGAGCTTCACAAGGACATATACTTATTTTCCTTTGTGACATAGTTAGGACTATCCTTACGCTGCGCGTCCCTAGGCGAAGCGATGCAGCGTTCCTTTATACCTTGTTATAAATACTTCATTAGTGAAAACTATTGGCGTTTCACCCTTGAAAACCTCCAAGGCGATGCTTGCTGTAAACTGTTCAGCATAGTTTTTGCAGTGTAGATGCAACACACAGGCATGATTTTGCAGTGGGTTTGGCATGTCTCCCTTCCGCCAAGCCGTCTGTGCAGGGAGGCATCCCAGAGCGTATTCCTCAGGTGCAGATCTGCGTACATGTCCTCCGGGCTCAGGGATGGTGCAGTTACTGCCAGATGTTTTTCCTCGGAGACTGATAAAGCCACATTTGGTGGTGTGGACACAACTCGAGTGGGCTGGACGCAGTTCGACCATGTGGCAGCCACACCAGGTAGGAGCGTGACAATCTGATTACAAAAACGTTGTACAATGACCAGAGCCTCAGCGAGCAGTGTCCTGAAATTAGTGATCTCTATTCCCTCCCAAAGGGAGAGGTCCTGCTTCCTTTATCCTCACTTGATTGAAACATGGAGTTCACTGGAGCCCATTTCCAATATTTTATTCTCCCGTGAGGGCATCCTGTATCTCCTCAGGAGAGAGCTCTGCTGTCAGCCAGCACACCGATTGTAATCTGCTGTCCTCACTTCAGATCCATTCAATACAATATCAATGTCCTTTATTGCTTTTAGGAAGCCGTGGGCCCTTATTGGAGAAGCTGCTTTATCAGAGAATGGTGTCTCTTCATTTCCTCTTCATTGAAAACCCTCCCTATCAGTTGGGCAGCTGCAGACTCACAAACGTTAGTTTTTAATCTTCATATTTGTTGAATTTATTGCTTTGGTTTTTTCCATCCCCCTCCCTATTAGAGACCCTCATATGCCGTGAAGCAAACACAGTCTGGAGATTGGCCTGGGCACCTCTTGCATACGGTTCAAAACAAAACCAGACACTGGGCCGGCAGGATATTTTTGCCGCTGCTGTTTTTGCCTTCACCCCATTCTTGCTTTCGCTCTTCACCTTATAGATATTTGCAGAGCTCCTGCTATGTTCCCCCCTCTCCTCACCTTCATACGTGCCCACCTCTCCTGGCTCTCAGGCTTAGTACGTTGAGTCACTGTTGTGAAAGGCAGGCAGTGAATCCTCGACACTTGACAGCAGACTCCATTAAACATGGTAAAGCCAACTACTGACACGGTAAAGTCACCTACCAACTACTGATCGCTCAGCAGGTAGCAGAGCTGCAGCTGATCCATAGCTTCACGTCCGGGCTGACCATGGAGCCCCTGAAAGGTTGGCTGGCAGAATAGGGACAGAAGTAGTAGCTCTATCCTGCATAACTATTAAACCTTTAAAAAAAAGCCCAACATTTTTAAAAATAGGCTGAAATTAGGCTTTTGAATCCATACTAGGTTGTTACCTATTTAAGCTGACAGTAGCCTTGTTTTGAAAAGGAAAGGTTTCAACACGGGTTGAAATCAGACAAGCTTTCAGGTTTCTCTGTCTCTCCCTTTATACAAATTCCCTTACCTCTGTAGCTAGGAGCTTCTGCCAGTCAGGTTTCAGATAGAAGATGACGCCCCTCCAGGCTCCTGGCAAAGTGGCACCTCGTATCAATAGGATAAAAAGTATGATGTAAGGGAACGTGGCAGTCACCCACACCACCTGGCGGAGAAAATGTAAAGACAGCGGTTTTTATGGGTAACGATGCAATGGAAACTGCAGCTTCATTGCATGCAAATGATCAATACCAATGTGGGACCATTAAGTCGCACAGTTTGCACAAGCATTCACTGATCCTGAGATACCTAGTCTGTGATTTTCTGAGATGCTGAGAATTCATGACACCAAAAAAAGATAATGGAAACTACAGATGCTCAGCACGAGTGAAATTAAGATCCTACATGTCTCAGGTAGGCACAAAAAAAAAATAAGGCCCCCAAAATTAGTTGAGACTTTGGAAAATGTTTGTATTAACCTTTCTGCAGTGCAGTTTCCCAACCAGGGAAATGGGAGCGATGCCAATTTGTGTAGTGTGACCTGAGGTGCTGGCTTAAACAGAAATATAACTGTTTTAGTGTAAATGGATGGGCATTGAGGTCGTTTACCTGACTTGCCCAGATGGCAGGCAACTAGTTCTATTTGTAGAAAAAGGCATAATGAGACTTGCCAGGCACGGCAATGACATGACTTTACCCTGTGCATAGACACAGACACATGCACATGCACCCCTTGCTTTCTCTGGGTAGGCCAGCTCTTGTCCACAGAACAGTAATCTAATGGTGCTGTTATGTACTATTTGGATTACAGTGGCACTCGTCACATGAAAGGTGCCACATCTACATAAAAAAACAGTCTTGAAAAAGCCCCCTGAAAAACCAAGCTTGCTTTCTCTAATGTTAATAAGTTGCTCCCAAGTTGCATCATGCTACATCAAGCAACTTTCTCTTGCTGTTGCATTCACCTTGCCAGATGTTTTGACCCCTTTCCAGATGCTGAAGTACACAATGGTGAAGATCAACAATAAACAGAGGGTCAGTTGCCAGCTAATGCCCCCCAGGTCATCCAGCCCTTTGGACCTATGTACCTGTAGCACTTGGCGGCTGAAAAAAGGAAAGAAAGTACTTTTTTTTTTTTTTGAACAAGGACTGAGATTGCTGATGTTGTAACACAGGACAGACGAGATACCCCCAACCCTACACATACAGATGCATGGATGCATGGTAATGCCCGAACAGTTTTTAAATGAAAATCATGTGATCAACACATATCCCTCTCATCCTCCACAGAAGCTCCTGCAGTATCTGCCATTCTTCCCGGCACTGCTGTCTCCACTTACATGCACTTACGTATAGAATTCTTCTGCAGGAGAGATGGAGTGCGGGGTCCAGGTGACATTTTCGGTACCAAAGTAGCTGGTGCAGTTGCCTGTGTTCCAAGCATTCTGGCAGGTGGTCCAGGGCAGCTCCGCCGTGAAGGAGGAAATGAGGTAGTATAAGGACCAAGCCATGATGGTGTTGTAGTAAGAGGCTATGTAAAACGCTATGATGCAGATGGCAAAGCCAATTCCTGGTAAGGTACAAAACAGTTATGTACACGTAAGCTCTGGCTCGCAGAGACTACAGTCAGTAGCAGGTTTTTCTGGTTACTTTCACGTCCCGTTTTTCATATACTAACACAGCGCTGCATCCTTTGGATTGGAAGCAATCATGGGTATCGTGCACATGGATAAGAACTTGCACTGATTTTTTTTTTTTTTTTAAGCATGTTCTGACTTCTGAGAAAATGAACGTGGGCGTTTCTGAAACCATTTCTTACAAAGCCCAAATTCTGGCCCTGAACTCTTGGCGGTGACCCTTTGTGCTTTTCCTGATTTTCAAGATTTTTTTTTACCCTCAAAAGGAAATCTCTGCTGTTACCTTAGGAGCTCCTGGTAAGCTTCCACTTCCCCTCATTACCTTTGAAAATTGGACAGATTTTCCTCCAGACTGAGATGCACCCATTTCTGTGGTACTGTCCCAGGGCTAGCTCCATGTAGAAGAGGGGAATGCCTCCGAAGACAGCCATGATTGTGTATGGGATGAGGAACGCACCTGCAAGGAAACAAGGACTCTGGTAGTACTTCTGGCGCACTGGTAGCAGCACTGTATACAGAATCATTCTTTGTCCCGTGTGGCCATCGCTGCGCGGACCCATGGCCAAAATGCACCCCGATAGGAGGTTTCACAGCAGTTGTGGTCTGTGACACCCAGCAACAAGACTTCTACCTCTTCCCTTTGGAAATCATTCCACTTCTGTCTGATCTCCGTGTCAGAAAGCTTTGCCTGCTACTCAGCATCCATTTCACTTTCCTTAATTCATCCTGTGGTTTCCAGTTCCCCTGCCTTCTGTGCTGCCAAATCTTTCTTTTTCTATCCTAGCATTTGTGGTTATCCTGTCTGAGCATCCCTCTCTGTAAACTAGGCATATTTTACTCTCTTAATCTACCTTAATGCCTCTTTCCACCTAACTGCTTGTGTTTTATGGTCTTATGATTTTAACATGAGCTGTTAAACTGATCCACCTATACCCAGAGAAGCCAGGTTTTAAGACATGACTTCCAGAATGAACACTGACCTCCTCCATTTTGGTAGCATATATAGGGGAATCGCCAGACGTTTCCCAGATCCACCGCATAGCCAATGACAGAAAGCAGAAAGTCCATTTTTTTACTCCAGGTCTCTCTCTCATCCAACTCCATCAGCTGCTGTTGAGCTTCTGCCCCACACGTGGTGGAAGTTGTGGTGGTCGTTGTAGTCGTGGCTGCGGGAGCAGTGCACTGGACGTCTTCTCCATCTCCCACTCCATTGCAGGGCACTGGGCTCTGAACTACTGAGAACCCGTTTGAGATCTGCTCTGCCTCCTCTTTATTCGCCTGACTGGAGTGGACTTTATTGCCATCCTCCACCAGCTGCAGGGCAGATTTCGGGTTCCTGACTAGAAGTCCATTCTCTTTGCAGTCTTCTCCTTCCTTACAGACCGAGAGCTCTTGCCTAGTGGTAAGGGGCAGCGTCTCATTGTTAGATGTTGTCTTTTCCATTCTGCTAGTTAAACGATATTGCTCCTGTCCATTTGCAAGTGGACCTGGAACAGAGTCCCCTTGCACTGTTCAGAGCTGTGCGCTCTGAAGCGCCACGAGATTCTTCTCTGGTCTTTATTTCCACTGGCTTGGAAACACGCTGAGCTTCAAAGAAGGGAAAAACAGTTAACATCTGTGTCAAGGCTGGCTGGTGCTGATGGCTTTACAGCTTTGAGGAGTGGGCCTATCTTGTAGCCGGGTTTTTGGCTGTAGCATGTCCTTAAACCAACAAGGCTACAGCCTGCCTATATCCTGACTTTCCTTTTCCTAACTTCAACCTGCGACTTCCAGCAGTATCTCCTAAGTTTCACTCAACAGTAGGAGGAAGAACCTTTAAGTACGCAAAGGTTACTGAAATAAAATATTTAGATATTTATAGATTTGCAAATAATTTTTCATGATTCCCCCCCCCGCCCCCAGCTCCAGAAATCTCACCAGACATTTCTTGCAGAATCAGCCTGACTTGATAGATCCAGCAGGTTTGGAAAGCAGCTCAAGATAAGCGTTTTGACTTCTAGGTGCTCACTTGAATTAGCTAAATATTTAGGTTCGTCCAATCCGAACCAGGGGAAAGATGTTGTGGAAGCTTAACACTGTTTTGGAAAACAGTGAAGGAAAAAACCAAATAGCAATTGAAAGGGAGTATTGAGCTACCAACCTAACTGATAGCTCTGCCATTTGGGAGATGCACTTCAGGGTAATATAGAGCCTGGGAAAGCTGCGCCAATGGAGGGAGGGCCAGATTTCTAGCAAAGCTTCACACAAAAGGGAGTCTGACTAGAGGCAACTTTGTCCTTTCCGAGCTTGCTAAAATTCTCTCCTGGACAACATGGTACCTTAGCTGAAAATGCTCTTTGAAAATCAAGTTCCTTCAAAGAGCGGTGCCCTTTGTTTCCTTTCTGCTTTGCATTTGCTTGCCTTTTCCCACAATGTAACAGGACAGGATGATACCTGTCCAATATCAAGCGACAGCATCACAGCATGATACTTGGGAGAAGCCCTGGCTTCTTGTCCCTTTCTCCCCACTCACCTGTCAGAATAGCCATGGGACAATAAGCTGCTTTGGAGAAAAAGGGTAAAGTAAAATTGCTTCTCCCTCAGAGCAAAGGCGGAGCAGGAGAACTCGCATTTTGAGCTCTCAGGTGACTCACATTTTGTTCTCAGGTCATTATCTGGAGCGACACAGCTAGGACACAGACTTTGTTAAAGGAAGATCACAAAGCAACAGTCAGCCCTGGTAGCGCGAGGCACAGAGCTTGTCCTTCGTTGCAAGCTGCCACCCAGTGCTCTTGTACACCAGTGATGATGACTGTGTATCTGTTTTATTTCCAAAGCATTTTATCAGTAATTATGATGACACTGTGCGAAGAGGAATAAATACTCTCTACTTTACAAAGGGGGCAACTAAGGCTAGGAAGTGGAGTTACTGGCTGAAGGCTAGACAGGGAATCGTACAGCCAGGATTAAACTCAAGAGCTCCTAATCACCCTTGTCCTCAGACCTTTAGACCTCACCTCTTCCTATTCATGGGCAGATGTAAGAGGAAAAGGGAGGAGAGCCATAGGGGCAATAAGCAGGAAGGTGTCAAGATTATAAGCCTTTGAAGGTGTTACTAGAGCCTCGTAATTCACAGCCCCCCACTCTGTCCATGTGTTACGCGCTCTGTGTTCACAGAGATGATGTCTTTCATTTGAGAACAAGCACTGTCTAAGCAACACTGACTTCTCATCATAACACTAGTTAACAGTACTTTATTAGCATTAGTTAATCATCCACAAAGAAACAGCTTCAGAACTTCTGCTGACAAAATAATTCTAGGACAAAGAAAAATGCTTTTGTTTACCTGCAAGACTTTAAAAGACTGTGCACTTTGCAGTCCAGACCCTTGCGCGCTTCCCCCAGGACCTCATGCAGATGCGGGTACTGATCTCACTGATGGTAACAGACAAGGCTTAGATGAGGCCGACATCAATCCCACTCCCCTTTCTGCATTGAGGAAGCTCCTTTCGGCACCAGGTGTGAAAATGGAAAAGTAACCTAAACTTGAGCCCTTTCTGGACTTTGTACATGTGACTAGTATACTGGAAAGCAATAAAGAAAGCTCATCTAATTACACCCATGTGATTGAATTTTCTGTACTTGAGATGTCAGCATTTCAGGTGTTTCCAGTCAGCATCATCTCTGCAAGTCCACGTTGGGTTGTTTTCCCCATTAACACTATTGCTGACGCAACTAGCAGTTGCACAAGTGTAAACCACACAGGAAGGGGGCAGCTTATATTTGGTTATTGCATTAGAGCTCATTTAGAGATAGGAGTTTATGTTTCTGTATGCGGGCAGGTCTCTTGTACAGCCCCGTGCCTCAAACAAACCCAGCCATCTTTAACCGAATGAACGTGTGATCAGGTGTAGCGGACATAACCTAGAGCTGGCAGACAGAGCCACGCAGCTAAATTCTGCTGCCCACATCTCAGCAGCTGCTGCAGGCTAGGCTGAAGAGACGGGTCTCTAAACTGGGAGCTCAGTAAAAAGTTCAAGGCCAGAATGCCAAGTTTTTTAGGTACTTAAAAAAAAAACCAGACCTAACTGGGATTTTCAGAAGGACCTGAGCAAGGTAAACGTCCAGTCAGTTAAGTCAAATGGAAATCAGGCATCTATTCTGTCTACAGGCTTTTGAAAGTCCTCCGACCCACCTACCTGTATTTTCAGGTATCTAACTTCTCTTTGAAAATCTGGCCCCGGAGGTGGACCAAAGTTAGCGGAAAACAACATGAAGCCTGGATTATCAGGGAAGGTACCTTTACACCGGAGACGAGAAAGGCCCCTGTGAGTGGAGCCTAGGCAGCCCTTCTCAGTATTAGTTTAAGCTTTTCAAGTGGCATCTCCTGACAACAGACACTTACTATATCTACAACAAACACTTTGGGCAGCCATCCCATCCAATGAAATGTGCTCCTCAGCATCCAATGTAAACCACTTCCCTAAGAGCTGGGGAAGAAAGATGGGAGAAAGCTGCGTGTGGGAGGCTCTGCGGCTGGACAGCACTGAGCAGCTCTGCCAGCTTACATAAACTTCCCATGTCGAGCAGAAAGCAAGAAAGAGTCCACTGCTGGGGGCAGAGTAAAGGGCGTGCACAAGCAGCGGCGTGCCCTAGTGTTGCTGTTCTTCTGTTCCCAGCAAGAGCGAGACCAGACTCTCTGCAGGTGGTATTTCAGGCAAGATGGCGGCTATTTCATGAACATTGTTAATCACCTGCTTGAAAGCAACGGAGAGAGCAGGTTTATTAGTTGCCCAAACAGGAGTGAAAGGAAGTGATTTGTTAGCAAGACGAAGGAATATTCAGCATCTAGGGAGAAACAGGAGTTTGACTGATCGTACTATATGTGTCGAATCCTTGATTATTCTTTGCGCAGTGTGTCCATTTCATTGACACAGGAAAGAAATTTCACATGCAGTACACTGGAGTACAGAGACAGGAGGTTTTTACCCGATCGTGTTTATGCAATGAACATGTTCTTCTCTGTGGAGGAAAGACAGCTGAATAAGCTTACTCGTTTTTTTGGGTGTGTGACAAGTAGGATAGTTGTCTGTCCAGAACAAAACTCCTTCCGGATCCTCTCTAGCCAAAATTCATAATGGAAAGGAAAGAAATACTGGATTAGCATAAACATTTAGGTAAGATTTTCAGTAGAATTAACCCCCGGCCCATAAAATGGTTTGTGAACTCTTAGGGGCCATAGCTGAAATTGGAACCCTCCTTTATTGGGTGCGTCTACACACGCGCATTTACTGTGCAGTAACCAAAATTACTGTGCCGTAGGGGCATGCATCTACGTGTGCAAGTCTGCACTGCGCAGTAAATACAGTGACTTATGCCGACTTGAGTGTAAGTTTGATACCTGCATCGTGCAGGTATCAAATTGGCTCCCAATTAGTTACTGCGCAGTAATACACGTGTAGACGCCTTCCTGCGCAGTAACACTGTGCGTGCGGATTGACTTGGGACTAACTTTAGTCCCAAGTCAGTCCACATACAGTGTTAATGCACTTTAACGCCTGCATGTGTCGATGCAGGCCTATTCCCACTTACTGCACAGTAGATTTAAGCTGCCGTACATGCATGTGTAGACAACAATTAAAAGGTTGTTACAGGTGTTTGGTTGTGATGGGAAATCTCTGGAGCCAGCTTCACAGTTACATGACCATGTATATTCTTAGTGACAGAAGGTAAGCTGGAGGCCCAGGGGATGCCAAGAACTTTAGCTGGATATCCTGGGGAGAGTTATGCTAATACTGGAGGATCCCCCTTTTTATTGCTTGCCGGCCTCTCTCTGTTGCTGTAGTGTCTATTTCTCGTTGGCTATTTTAGCAAAAGACATAGTAATAACAGTTTACTATCTGTCTTTGTTCTGAGCTGTTGCAAAGGTCATGCTTACATAAATACGCATTGGCTCTTTATCAACAACTGAAATAGCTACAGACCAAAAAAAATAAAAGCTAGTAGGGAACATGAGACCTGAAAACTGCAGTTAGTTTTCTGCTGCCTTCCACAAGTGTAGTGTTTCAGGGGCCCTAAGCATCTCTCTCCCAGCTAACAGCTCACTGACCCCAAGACTGAAGTGCTGGGGGTACATAAGAGGTGCCAGCTGAGAGCCTGGAAACTGCAGTCCTCATTTTCCAGTGAACCTCAGCTTCGCCGTAGCAAAACCGCATGGACAGGCATGAGGAATGTCTTTTGCATCTGCCAGCCGTGGTGCCTCTGCAAATCATGCCAAACACCAGCGTCAACTGAATATATCATATTGGTTTAGTAGATACTAAACTAAAGCCACCTCATATTTGATGCTCAGTGATACTGGCCACGTCTGCATGTGCAGCAGACTGCACACTTGTTACTGCACGGTCCTGTTGCCGCGTGGTTTTTCCTGACGCTAGTGCACAGTAGCATCGCGTCACGGTTAGTGCCCGGTAACTCTACTGCACGGTAGCAGCAAGCTACACCGCAATAGCTCGTTGCTTCTGCACCACAGTGTGTCGTGTAGACGTGCCCACTGAGTGAGAAAGGCAGAGAAGAAATGCTGATATCAGTACCTGAAGACATGAGACAAGCACTGTTAAAAACCATGAAATGCACAAATATCCTCACATCTTCTGCATGTAATGATTTTTGTTGTTCATAAATTCACTTTGACTTGGTGCAGCATTCGAACTGACACAAGCAGCGCTACAAATCGATCTGTCCAGCAAAAAAGCTCGATTTTTCTGTTCCCTAAGCTTATGGAAAACTAACATTTGCCTTTAATCTGAATGTTGGCAAGAAGAGCAATGCAGTCAAATCTGTCCTTCCATTAGCATTAAATCAGTTCTTGATGCCTCGGGGGAAGGCAGACCTCAGCCTTGCTTCACGCCAGCTGTGCAGTATTGCACGTGAGACGGGGCATGGGTGTGTGCATACCTTCCTGGGCCATGTGGCTATTAATGTATTCTCTGCAGCACAAGATGTGCTTATCCTTAGCGGTCACAATTCTGAAAGTTAATACTGATCACAAAATTACCCTGTCTATTAAATCTGGCAGTAAGGAAGTATGTGTATGTGCATACATCTTCCTTTAAATAAGTTATATTTTCTTTTGTAATGTCCAAATGCATTGAACCACACTTGAACCTTCTGCAATATCAGTCCCTGAATAAATCACTATCAAGTTCCAGTAGAATGATTGTGACGGGTTTAATACCGTTTTGAGCACAGATAGAAACCTATGCTCCTTCTGCATTACTTCTGTCCACTGCGGCACCAGCACCTGCTGAGATTTAAAAGGCTCCAGACTGGAGAGTGAAAGGTTAATGAATATTTCCAGCAAATCCGAACAAACCAGTGTTTATTGTTAGTCATACTGTACACTGAAATAATCTCTCTTAATCTGGCGTGTATTAGGACTCATTTTACATGTAGATGTTGCTCGGCTTTGAATTACGCTTTGCCCCGTAGACACAGTTCACAAGGCAGACATACATGTACAAAGCCCAAGTAAATAGGCATTGAGAGCACTAAGCAGGAGGTTTCTTTGAAGGGATACAAACAGTTTAGCTAGCACAGGAGGCAACATAGCAACCAGAGCCCTCCTAAAACATATATGTATGTGTGGGGATTCGCAGGCACTGGACCTACATAAGTATGGACTCAGACATCCCTGGCCCTTTTCCGTTCCTTTCCTCAGCTCCACCTGTGTCCTCCTGTGCCGGGTACCCACGGGACTAAAGGGCTGTGGAGGACCTTGTGCAACTCATCCCTACAGCAACGCTTTGCTTCCTGTGCATGCAGGGGAGCAGGGGCTCCTTAATTCCTTTTCGTCTCTCTCCTTACACCTGTACAGCAGCACAGTCTAGAAATGACCTTTAATTAAAATATGTATGTGATACGCTAGGTGCTGGGAGACCATGGTGATGAGAGGTGTTCAGCAAGGAGGACCAACCAGTTCTAGCCAATTCATATTTAAAACCTGCCAGCATCACATTTCAGTTCCTTTTATTTCCAGTTTCTAGCAGGAAACCGTATCGAGAACTGACACCCCAGCGGCTGGATACTTTGCTACTAAATGTGCCTGTTTGTATCGAATAGAAACCAGATCAGTTTGGTTTCTAGAAGATCCTTCACCAATATCTGTCACTGCAGATCAACATATTTCACATGTCCAAAACTGACACGCCTGTAATTGCTTGACAAACCGTGCCGGCTTGGAAATCTCACTGCTTGACCAGAGCCACAGGAACTAGGCACAGAGAAACTCACCTCTAGTGCACCCCTCAACTGGTGTTGGGTTAGTCATTGCACTTTGTTTTATTTATGCCCTATCTAGTCTAGTCGCAAATAATAAGTAAAGTGTCAGCCTGATTCAAGGCCCACTGAAGTCAGTGGGTCACAACGAATCTTTCATGTATTTTGGATCTGATCCAAGTCTCAAAGATTTGATGCATCTTAGGGTTTTAACTGCTGCCCATCACCATAATGACTGAACACCTTATACAAAGCTTACAGAAAGGAGATGGCAACATAGATCTTGTATATGAATACTAGTTGCACTTGAAAGGGAATAACTGAGAAAGAGTGAGCTGCTGACACTAACACCGAGCAGTGCCATACTCTACAAGCAGTCATACTGAAATCAGTGACCTTCCTAGAAGTGCTAACCAGACTACGAGTGGCAGGAGCAACACAGTTGTCTGGTGGGCTCTTGCATATGACTATAACCATTTATGCTATAAGTAGCACGTGTGCAGCAACACAGCCTGGCATATTAAGGAAAGAATATCCACCTTCACTCTGAAGTCCATATTGCAACCTTGGTCGTATTTAATTCTGTATTTACCACTCCCACAGCGAGAGACCGTGTGATGAGGATTTACCTGTGTAATTCTTACAGAAGAAACACCACATACTAATGCCAAAGCTGCACACTGAAGTAGATGGTCCAGTGCTATACATTTTAAAGACAGTCCAACTCATGGGAGGGGGCAAATATATTTTATGGCTGGAGACGGTACGGGAGTAGATAAACCTAGAGAGAATGATACTCTCCTTTTTCCCATATTATATATATATATATATATATATATATATAGCTTCTACGAAGACTCATAATGCATTACATATCACAAAACTCCTAGAGCACTGTCAGCAAGCATAAAAACATGTTAATAATACTACATGCACATTGTATAACACGACACATGCACGTATACACACAATACAGTTCAAAGACTGACGAGTAACGGGACACGTTTCTCGTTCTGATTATGTTTGTAATTTTTCATGGCTGGAGGAAGGAAAATAAATGGTCACAAATATGCCTTGATCTTACAACTTATTACCAAGTCATACAGCCTGGGTCCAAACTCTGCTGTAGTGCTTTCTGAAAATACTTGTACCCACTATGGTACAAGTCTACTCACATACACCATAACCGGCCAAATGTACAATGCTGCTGACCTATCTTTGGAAGAGAATTAAGACATTAGCACCAGAAGAGACACTGTAGCGATCCATCCTCATGTCCTCAGGCTCCCTAGTGCTGCTCCTGTTTCAAAACTCAGCAGCACATACGTCTGTGCAGGAGAGTATGAGAGAGAGGAGATGACATACATTTTCCATGCTAAGAGATCATCTGTTCTTTATTAGATTCCCACAGGGTTTTTTTGCTTTTGGGGGGTTAATTTGGAGAGCTGTTTGAAACTCATTCCCTTCCCCTTGTTCAGTGCACCCACAAGAGACATTTACTGAACGCCTAATTTCCAAAGAATGTCCTAAGAATCCTTATTGTTACCAGGTTGCAGGGCAGAGAAGATTACGATCAATCCACTTAGCAGAAACACTGACAGACAGACACATCGGTTGCATGACATTTAACCCAATGAAAGTGGCTGCCAATAAACAGCCCAAGTTCAGTCCCATGCTATAATATATCCCAGTATCCAATTTAAACTCCAAGTCCTTTTCTCTCCCTAAGGCTATGCCTTTCCTTCTTGGGTCTCCCTTTTCCGTTCTGAATGCTTCAAGATACCTTTACCGTATCACTGAAAAAAGTTATATCAGAGTCCATTTTTGATTACATTACATTCTTACTGGCACGTCTGCTATGTTGAGCCAAATTGTAGGCAACTCAATCAGATGGCTAATTTCCCCACTAAAAAGTAACTGCAATGTAAATACATTCACGGCATACTCTTCAGCTTATTCTATCGTCGTGTATATAAACTCTCTTGAAATAATATATGATTATTTAAAATATAAAATTGCTGTGGTTAATCCAGTCTGTTTTGGTCCTTTTAAAAGAAATGAGTTCACATTGATTTCTGTGTCCAATTCTGCCATTTCTCCGTCAGTATATTTTTGGCTTGAATTTTAAAAGGGCTTTGCATGCTTTATAAACTAATTTCCAATGATCATAACACATTCTGCTGCAAGCATTTCTCTCCAACATTCATAATTGTTGGACAAGTGCCTGAGTAAGGCAGTGGGCATGTCACAGCAGAACAGCAAGCAGAACCATGCACTTAGCAAAGTTTCTTCAAGATTTAAGTCATCCTTTCCCCAAAGACACAACAGCCGAGTTTGTCTCCCAACCCTTCAGAAGTTGCCGGGGGAACTCATACAGCGTTCATTTAAAAAACAGCACTACAAAACGAGGAATTGAAAGGTCTTCTATCAAGTGATCATCGTCGCCTCGCGGCTCAGAATAGAAGTTGCAAGAGGCGAAAGTTAATGCAACTCAGATGCCCACCTGAAGCAGAAGGCAGTATCTTCCCCATAAAAGAGCCTGTGTCTAGCTCATATAGCATTAAATAGCTGTGGGGTGAAAGCAAGATTAAAAGGTACCTGTCTTTCAGATGAATAGGAAGCGTCTTCCCCTGGAGTTATCCAAGCCTGAGCAACCCTGACCCTATGCTTGCTTCAGAGCCTCTGAAACTCAGCCTGTGGGCAACTCAGCATCTTGTTGAGGTTTTTGTACACCAATCCCCCTCACATGGTCTGATTTCCAGATAATCTGCTGCCAAAGAGCTCTTTAAGAATTTTTGCGTCACTTTTAGTCAGCTAACTTTATGTTTCACCAGGGCTGCAGCTCAGTTTTCCTCCTAGAGGTGGGTGGCTACATTTATATGTTCTGATCAGTTCAGGAGCGCAGCATCCAGCAAAGGCAGGCGAGTGAGTGAGAGGGAGGGAGGGAGGGAGGGAGGGAGGGAAGACAAACGGTTAAGGGATGAAGCTCCTGTCTCTCCTTACAGCCATAAGTGTGTGGGTGGTAGGAACAAGAGGACAAAAACTGGGACTGAAGGCTTGAGGGAGGCAGTGAATTAGAAGTGTGCAGGTGAGTCTGGTAGATCAAAGTAAGAAGTTCTGGGGTTTTAGCTTATAATCGAGCAGAGAAAGGGCTAGTCATTAATCTTCCTGGTTATTGAACACTTGCGTTATTTTAATGCAGAAATATAAATGGGGAGTTGGCTTGGTTATAAGATGTCGCTGCAAGCTCCTTGAAAAGTGTGTTTGTCGGGCTTTAATTAATTAAGTAAGGAACTTCCCCTCTTCCTTCTGCGCTTTAAAACCCCCCGATGCGATCCCTGACATGAATGCTTTTTCTCCAAGCTCCTTCAGTGCAGACAAATGACTTGGACAGTTTGAAACTTAAACATTTTGTTTATAAAGATGGTAAATGATGGACCAGCGAGCAAGTGCCTCGGTGGATGGGCAGAGCTGGAAAAGCAAGTAGAAAACCATATGAAAAAAATAGCTAACTTCAAGAACAACAGAGTTGTTGGTGTAAGCAACAGGCAGTTTGCAGAGATCTGCTCGGAGCAGTTCAGTAAGAACAGAAACTCAGAGAACAAACAAGCCTAGGGTTATAATTATTGCTTCCCTTTCTCTGGCCGCTAGCCCCCTTCGAAGGCCAGCCGGGGACTTAGCATCATGCAGCTGATGCCACCTCAAGGACAGTTGTAGTACTGGACCCAGACCCTCATGTGCCTGAACCCAAAACCTTGCTTTTATCCCCAGTACTGCTTTGTGCACACTGCGTGAGCATCGCTTTAATATCACTAGAGCAGTCGTAGTCTTTTACTTGAAGCCGAGGTAGACAGCAGTGTCAAACTGGCCTCCTTGCCGTTCATTATTGCATATCAGTTCCCCGACGTCCTCACCTTTGCAAAGTAAACAGTCCTAGTCATTTTAATCTCTCCTACGCTAAAGAAGGCAAGTCAGAACCTACTTCCCCAACCCCCCTCCCATTGCAGGAACTGGAAAAGATGGAAATCCTCTCTTTTAAGATCTTAGCACAAAAGGTATCTATTCAGGAATGCAATTGCAGAGTTCAAATCTGCATTTTAAAGATGTTTAAACATTTTAAAGAGGATCCATCCTTTCCCCCTCCGACAGCATTTGCAGCCCTCCAGGACTGGGAGCCCACAGCGGATTGTCCAGGCACGTGGATGCTAGCCTCTCACAGGAAGTATAACCTTTCGGTGTACGTTTTGCCATTCCTCCACATGCACACATATCGTTGTAGAAAGATTTAAGAATCTGTGTCTGGGGGTTTTTTATTATTATTTCTGTATCTCCACTGTACTTTCTGCTTAGAGCAGACTTTTATTGCCGTTTCGGAAACAGTACAGAGCAGATTGTTTTGCTTAATGCTGGTAGTTAAATTGTGCTCGGCTGCTCGCACTGGTGATGCTCTGAGTCAGCAACGGGTAATTTTCCTAGAGCAGGTAAAGCTGCACGGTATACAGCAATGCGTTAAGACCAGACAACAGCCTTCACACCTTCTACTGAAGTATGGGTTTTTTTCATTTGTTCTGTAAAGCATCTAGGACCCTATTTTTGATAGCAGCTGACATGCAAGGCCACGCTCTCAACTTGATGGCACTTCTCTGCCTGTGATAACTTTTGAATGCCCTGTATGATCCACTGCAGGCACAAATTTTAGGGAAGATCTTAAGTACAACTGAGCAGAAACCTGTGGAGTTTGGAGAGGAACAGAAATCCAGGTACCCAAGCACAGAGGCACAAGAGCATCTCAGGAAAGTGATTGAAGAAATGGCCGAACCACTTTAGTCGAACCTGTCCAGCAACAAGCAGGAGGCAAGCCTCTGATGGGGAGAATTGCAGCCAAAGTGGTTCAAGTGAACAGTGTTATAGAGGACTGAAAAATAGTCCTGCAATAGGACATAGATCAGACAACCTTACCCGGGGGTGCACCGCTAGCTCCACCCGTAACAGTGCCTGGTGCGGCTTTGCCTTGCTTCACCATCAAACACAAAACACCAATATTTTACAGAACCAACAGCATTAAAATCCAGATCTGTTGTTTGTTTGTGTCCTTGGTTTATACAGGAACCAGAGTTTCACTTAAAAGCTTTGATGTTCTGCTCTGAAGTAAAATGGAAATGAAGATTTGATCATCCTTTCCCCTCCTTTGCTAGCTAGGTGGAACATCTGGGAGCTACGTGTGTTGAAGTGCCACGTTGTGCCACTTCTCATTAGTGTCAGTTAGCAACAGCTCAGTCTAAAATAGGGACAGAAGGGATTATTTCAGTCCTTTACAAGATGGTGTCAGGTAGAAGGCTCCCACTTCTCTTCATTTTACACTTCTTGCTGTTTTATACCTTTGAACACTAAAACTCAGAACCACCTAGTGATTATTGTGCGGTCTGTGAAGAAGTCATGGCATTTCTTAGCCATTAGTTCGTTCTCATCCATGCAGAGAGACTGCCACTCTCTTATTGGTTTCTTTTAATTTTTCCCATTTTTCTTCCTCTGGGATGGAGTTTAAACTTTAAAAGCCCGGGTCAGGGTTTGTGCTTTCTTAGCAGGGCAGAGCACTGGACACAGAGCGCTCCATTTTGGACAGCTTGCTTACTGAGGTCTTCTGGCATCGCCATCTTCAGTCTGCTTGGTTCGCTCGAGCAGCAGCGGGTACTTCTGCACGGCTCTAACCAAACGAGCTGGCTGCCAAACTAACTGCTCGAAATAAGAGGAAAAAATATCATTATATCATGCTACTTTTTCGTATGTGGTAATGTGGTGTCCTGCCACAAAATCAAGGCACCCGACATTCACTTAGCCACTAGTCCAGAGTTGTGGCTTTGCTTTTCAGAGCAAGATCCTGGGCACGTTGGCTTGCTGACTTTCTTATTCTGTGATCCATTAAAGATAGCTGGATGCAAAGGTACTTTAAAAAGCTTTGCTTGCATGCAGTGCTCAACTGTCCAGACACTTACTGAGACCATCAGAAAGAGGTCTTCTGAATGAGTGCATGAAAAAACATTTTATGCACGGAAGTTATTTGAAGGAAAGCTCCTGTCCTATAGCCAGTCCACATGTAAATCCCAGATCTTTTTTCCCCCACATGCAAAACATACAACCTAAATAAGGAAAAAGCACTGAGGTGTGTAGCTCTTTTTCATTCCATCTTTAGCCTCTTTCTACCAACTGGAGATGAATGTTTCCTTGTAATCGGGATTTACTTCCCTTGCCACATCACAGTACTCTGAGCAGGCCACATTTATGCCCAGATTGATGGAACAGAAATAATCAAGAATTGTTTAACATTAATCCTCTCTTCTTTGATCCAGTCCCTGGAAACCGACTGCAGTAAAATAAGCAGTTCCACGCTTCAGTTGATGTGCGAGGTGCACATCCACCACACCACTCCCTTTTCCTGGGAAGGTGAGAAGATACTGAGATTCCTTTGGGACCATCAGCACCCTTGCTCTGCTCAGGACACCAAGACCTGAGTTTTCAGAACAGATTTTAAGGCGTATCACAGTCATTTATTATTTTTCCTGCTTTGTTAGCGTCTCAATTGCCTGAGTGAGGGCTGCCACAAAAATAGCTACATTTTTTTTCCTTCAGGACAAAGAAGGAACTTGGTCCAGGAAGCTGATAATAGTTCTCCGAGCCAAGAATGACCAAATTGCAGTCTCTTGCTGCCCCTTTGCTCCAGTTTCCCTAGCAGGAAAGCAAGGGGCACCCCGCTTAATGTAGGGCAGAAAAAAAAATAGCTTAGATTTCTTTAAACAACCATTCACATTTCTGGAACTTAGCTTCATATTTCTTTAATTACTGAATAGTATTTGCATCTAAAAGTGGACCAGGTTCTCACGGGATAGAAGTGAATGAGCCTAAAAGCAAGGGGCAAATTGCTTACTAACATGAACAAAAAATAAATCACAAACGCTAGATGGAAAATACGATACTTCATACAGGTAGATATTTAAAAGGACAGTCAAGTGAACTGTAGTAAAGGAGGTGTTTTTGGTGTAATGCTTTTTACAGCTGGTGGGAATTCAGTTTGTACATCATGATTTTTAACCAACATGTCAAACACTGATGTTTTAAAATAAAGGAGAGGATGCCGATTTCTCAGCAGTCATTATATAGTCACAAGTAGGTAAGGACTCTTACCTGTTTTATAAACCATAAGAGGCAGTTATAGGGCTATGCGACCAGGTTGGTGCTAAAGACTGAGGCTGAAAAGGCCGATGATTGGCAATTGAAAACCAGCACGAGGACACAGCTAAACGCAGAACAATCTAGTGGTCACCCTGACAGCCTTGAAGGACTGTAAGACAAGTTAGCATGGGGCCACCGTTTGCTTAACAGCCCTCAATATTAAAGGAGACAAAGCAAACTTGTATTTTTGCCTTATCCGTCTCACAATAAACTTCGAGCAGTGCTGGGTGTCGATATGATGCTGCCTCTGCCAGGCTGGCTCCATTTCATATAGCGTGTTTCAGCCATGTGAATTTTCTGTGCTTATTTGGAAGAGAAAGAGGAAAAAAAATCCCCAACGCTATTGTATAAACGGGACTGGGAAATATCTGGGTAAGAACAGCAGAGATAAGCTTATGCTGGACAATAGTTTGACATACTCCAAATTAAACAAAAATGGGCTTGAAAACAGTTTTTAAACATGTCAAACTCCATCAGCATCAGATCTGGCCCGGGTGAAGAAAATGCTAGTTGTTATGTCTCAAGAAAATGATAACTTTGCAGGATGGGCACAATCCAGCAGTAAACAACATGGAGGGAACAGAGGAATGCGTCTCCGTTTGCGACACTGCACACTCTGAACGCCTAGGAAGTTGGACTTCGGGAAGGAAAAAGCCCACACGCGCGTTAGTTATAGCACATACTTCCACATAGGTC